TTTACTTAGAATAGCATGGGGAGCCAAGAGACCAAAGAGGGAGACAGGAAAGGAACTCCATTGCTGCAAAATGCTTTCAGGTGAGAGACAAACTGAAAGCTGAGAAAGTGTACTAGAAGCAACCCTGAGGTGACACAGAAGAAAAAGGCAGCTGATTGCAGATACGTATTGTATGTACATAGGATTTTTGCTGAAACACAACATAACCATAAGAATTGTTATCAGAAAACAGACTTGAATGTTCTTCAAACGGTGACAATAAGTTTTAATCCTAATACACTGTTTTCGCTATACAGTCTTTTTAACAAGGCCCTAGTTATCCACTCTAATAAAAAGACAATCACATAAACATAAGGTTGACTGCCAGTTTCACTTGTGGTATGCGTAACTACAGTTATGAACACTTTTCAACAAACATTTCAAAACACTGAAATCCTTTACAAATTGGCTAACAGGTCTGCTTTCCATCAACATAGTACTTCTTGAAAGAAGCTTAGATGAAAGGATCGGGATAATGAAAATATTTACTAATTTATATGTGAAATATTCATGGTAGCAGATCCACCCACAAAGCACACAATAAAAATTATGAAAGCTACAGAGTAAATTGTGTCTTCATTTTTTAGATTTTATTACTGGAGGAAAAGTACCTTGAAAACTCCTAGATAGCTTATGAGTAGAAAAGTTAGGTTGGATGGATATGGGTTTTTTTGTTTGTTTGTTTTTTGATTGTTGTTGCACATAGCAGGTACAGGTTGGGCTCTGCATCCTGAAAAAGCCCTAAACAGTGCATAGTCCACATTTAGAAAATTAATCAGGAGCAGACTTGAGGAGGAGAAGAGGGAAATCAGCTTACAACACTTGGGATCTCCATTGATTCTTAATGGGGCACATAGTTATAGCCTCATCGGGACACAGAAAGCCATCATGGCATTACAGACTGAAGAAAGGACATAAAGGGACAAGAAATTCTTACATCTTTGTAGAGAACACTGATTTCTTTGTGTACAGATGGTAGACTTATCCATAGTCTTCAATTGGTTTAAGCAGTGAGAAGTCACAGATTCAAAGAAACACTGGCTGATTTATATGAATGACATGTTCCAAGTAATTGACAAGTACTACAACTTTGGCAATATACTACATTTTTAAGGAAGAATGAAAATGCAGTTTGTTGAGATAAAAAAAAAAGAGAGAAAAAAGAAAAAAGATGAGGCTGACAGTAGATAATCTTTCAGCATCAGTTTGAGTTCCATTTTTCCCTTTCTACAAAGATCGAAGATCGTGTGATAGGTAACATAGATGTTTGTTAACAAACTGTTTTGAAGCTTTATTTATGCTGCCCATAAGTGCGATTACAGTAGCAAATAGGTAACTTGAGCATAAGCTTTTAATGTTTATTCAAAAAGCTGAAAAAGTTCATTTTGTTTGTAGGATGCAACAGAAAAAAACATCCAAAGCAAAACCAAGTCAGTTCCTGTGGGAAAACGGATCAATTTCTGTCTCGCCTAAAAGCAGACTGTCTTTACTTATTTTTGAAAGAGTAGCTCTGGTTAGTGCTTAAATCTCATTGGCTCCAAACAGACAGAAGAGAACTCAATGAAACACCCAAGCACAGAGATGGACTCAGTACAATAAACATGATATCCTAAAAGGTCTTGGGTGACCCTGTAAAGGTTGTAAAACATCTGTAATTAATATATCCTCTGCTATAAGTCAATGAGAATGAACAGTGCCAGCCTATCACAGAGGTAAAAGAAAAGTTGGCTCTAAAATACATCTGAGAGAAACTATTTATCAACAAGATAAGATTATTCCCAAAAGTTAAAAATGAAATAAAAGGAAAACAGCCCATTTCAGAAATAATATAGTAATTCTGCAAGTTTTCATTTTGTATGACAGTTGACAGATTGAAAGCATCTACTTTATATTTAATATGACTGTATTCAGAAGCTGATGATTTTAAAATGTTTGAGTTACTTCTGAGTACAGAGAATTATATCTTTTTAATAAATAATGCCCAGCCAGTAGAGTAGATTAAAATCAGCAAGAATCAATCACAAAATGCAGTGGCGAGAAACAGTCTGTGCATTTCTTACCTAGTAGCATACTGCTCTATCCTGGAGTGTGTGTCATCATGAAATAGCTGTGGAGACTGAGAAGGGCTATTTAAAAAAAAAAAAAAAGTTATTGGTGTCAAAAGCAATTCATGATATAGGTAGAATTATTTTAAAGTAATTTAGACCGATGACAGATAAATAAATTCACAATATTGCTGAGGGGGGTTGTTGCTTTGGGTCAGCCATGCCCTATAGCTCATGCACATCAGATTAGCAGCAATTCAGCTTAGAGAAAAATAGTCTATCAAGCTTTCTGGACAAAAGGATTCTGCATACTCACTCATATTGCTCTGGCCACATACTGATGAGAGTGATAGGACTGTAAGGAAGACAAAAAAGGGAAAGAAAGAAAGAAAGAAACTATGAAACAAACTTTGGAGCCATTTAAGCAAGAGAATGCTAGAGAAACACGTATTATCTTAACAAACAATCAACTCATTATCTGAACCAGCAACAAATGACATTGAAAAGAGACAGCAAAGATATTACAGCATATCATGGAAAGACAGGAGACTGAGTTACAAACTTCTTTTTGTTAAAAATCACATTCTAAAAAATACCAAAACAGTATTATTGATTAAACTGGAATTTTGTTTAAATATTGTTCAAGCATTGGAGCATTCCTTTCAAACTAACTAGAAAATACTCTTACAAAAACATACTGGGGAAAAAGAAACACAACAACAAAACACCTCACTGTATATAGAGGTTATCAGTGCTTATTTTCCTACTGCATAAAAATAATCTAAGATAAATATATATTGTATAGTATTCTGTCACTTGGATAAGCACTTAAGATTTCCAATTTAACTTTTTTCAAGAACCATACTATTGAGCATTGTCATGTGAGGCAGAGAGAACCCATGCCAGTAGTTTCCTCAGCACAGTACTGGCGATTTATCTGTGTATTTTCCACATGACAGGCCAAAAGAGTTTTACCCCAACCTGTGATTACAATTTTGATACTCAAATTCCTGGCACCATTGGCAAACTTTTGCTTCTCTTTGTTTGTGACATATTTGTTGTTACATACAGATCAGTCAAGGACTGATAACATTTGAACATCTGTGTGCACATTATGCTTACAACACAGGCCATCAGATATGCTAGTTTTCAGATTATTTCCTTCTGCTTCTTAAACCGATAATGAGTGGGTTTTGTTTACTGAAAAAAAGAAACACACAATCCTCTAGTCACAAAATTGAGCATGGACAAGTGCATTGGGCTTTACCACACAAGCAGAGCACATATGTTGAAGTTCCACAGTGGCTGCTGGTGGTGACTAAGTGGTGCAGTGTTTAGACAACACAAGCAGAAGCAACCACAAACTCCAAGATGTCACAAGGAGTCAATTCATGAAACCACTTCTGGTGCTCAGTTAAAATATCTTGATTTTTTTCATATAAGAGCCTCCTTTGCTGACAGCGACCAACCACCTAAGTAAATAGGGTATTTCTGTCAGCACAGCAAATAACTGGGGAGACACAGACAGTGCTCTGCTCCATCATCAGTCCTCCTGTATTTCTGAAGTTTGGAGGAACCTCATTAGCTCAGAGATTTCTAACTCTAGGGACTTAAGCATGACCATATAAAGAGGAAGGTTCCAGAAGTCCAATCTCCTGAAAGCAATAAAAGGTTTCTTTTTGTAAAACAGCCACTAAGATCCCCCCAAAATTAACTGCTACATGGCTATATAGCAAAAATACTTATCCAAATAAAAACGCATACTTTTCAAATTCAGGCAAGATCTGCAAATAAAGCAAACAACTGCCCACTCTTTGGTTTCACTTTTTTTTGTTTTAATGGAGCAGACCAGTAATGCCAAGAGCATTTGCTCTATAATTAAGCTTACGTCTCCAGGTTGTCACCCTCCAGAACTGTTTGCACAGGCAGATAGCCAAGACGCGGATGTTTTGCAAAATACTTCTTTGAGCGGAACTTGTTCTTCAGCACCTTGGTGAAGTCTCGTACATCTTCCCCAGATGTTGTCTTAAAAAGTTAAAAGAAATTAAATTGAATGTTGCTAAATAGCACTGACAATGATACTGCTGCTACTCTCCTGGAAGAAGGAAGAACTTCAAAATGTTAGTCATGTTAAAAACGCCTTTTTAGTGTTGTGAAATACAGCACACTGATAATGGTAACGCATCTACAAACTCCTTTCTATTAGAAAAAAAAGCAGCAAGGCTTCAAACTTCTAGCAATGAATGCACTAGATTTACCAATTACTTTATAAATTAGAGAAAAACTGAAACAGGTTCAAGTCTTAAGCTGAGCATTTACAAACAGTCTTACAAAACTGAAAAGAGCAAAGTTTGACAGATATAAGGGGATACTCTCAGTTACTGAAACTAATTCTGACAGTATACTCACGCACATCAATCTTGTTACTCACCTTCACAGAAAAAAATAAAAGCCTTGCAATAGCCTTGCTGAAAAAAATACAGCTAACAGGAATGGCTTTACTTTGAAAACAAAACAAAACAAAAAAGCCAATTGACTACACAGTTCACACAGCCCCGCATATTCACAAATTGCCACAAAATATTCAATGTTTGCTATTATATACCTGAACTGAAAAACCTTATAACGGGATAGAAGTAATAAGTGCTAAACCATTCTCTCCTGCAAGAGCCAAGTTTTAATGAGAATTTTCTCATGTTACCAGACCTCTTCCTACAGGTTTTTACAATTATCTATATCATTCCATGGCCAAGAAATAGCTGCAGCAGACAAAATTATAACCGTCCTACAGGCGCTGTTCAGAGGCACAGTCAGAGCAGATCTGGTAAGAACAACCTGTGCCTGAAGTAACAAACCTATAGAGTGGGACAGCATCCTCCTAACTACCACACTACGAGGCTGCTAAGAAAATCAGCCCCAAGATTTTGCAAGTCTAAAATTACCAGCTACAACCAGCAAAAGCTCCCTGAAGAAGCTTTTCTACTGGTCCTCACTGATGCAGCCTTTTCCAAAAACAAGAAATGCTTATCCATCTCACTCCCACAGCTGGAATTTAGAACAGAATTTAAATTGGCACAGCTGCTTTTAAGGAACGGTTTAATTAGAAATAATCACAGCAGTAATGACAACACTGTTTTGGTAATGCTATTCAATTGCTGCTTCCAAAGCAGGGATGCAAAGCAAAATAGACAGGGGAGGTGAAAAAGACAATAGAAGGTGAAAGTGACTATAAGAGATGTCTGTGGACAGAAATAACACTATACAATTTGACTTTATAGTACTCCTGTTTTTCAGACCAAACTGTGTACTTAAACAGAATGGTACCCACCCCATGGAGCAGTGTTTCTTTTTGGAACTGCAATTTAAAAAAACTAAAATGGCCATTCACCTCCTGTACTAGCTGCAGGTTTGTCATGGCTTCCACAGTCTACAGCCCAAACCCTGTAACAAACTGTGGACTGTATTTCTGCAGATGCTGCTTAAGGAGAAGCATGTTAACATAAAAAGATGCCAAAGTGAATGAATATCTGTAAAAAAAAGAAGAGTTAAGGGTGTTTCAGTTTTGTAATTCTTTCCCCATTACTTATTAGTTAAATTATTAGTAAAAGGCCTAGCAGCAGGTCAGACAAACTTTTCTTCAATTGTATTTTCTATTGTCAAAACATAAAAATTCATACATGAATATGGAAATATGTTTAATGTGTATAATACAGGCAGTTATAAAACCTGTAATGCAGGTCAGAGTAGCAGTAAAAACAGTAGATAATCAAACTGATGTTTGTGGCATCTGGCTTTAATGAGTAGCAACAAAATCAGCACATTCGGGATTAAGAAACATTTGATTTTAATACAGGTAAAATTCAGAGAGGGCTCACAAATTCATGCTCAGAAAGCATCTGCTACATGCATGGAATCATCCAAATAATGTCTGTGAAGTCCAAAGGGCTGCTGCTTCTCACAGAACAGTAACTCCAGCAGATGGAACTCTGTCCCAAGGCCAATGAATGAAAGTTTTACTACCTACACATTACAGAAATAAATGTGCAGTGGGCTGCCAAACTTTTCCTCTGGTGTACTCTTTACTTGGTATGACAGTCTGACCTAGTTCCTTGAAAAGACTAATTTTACTATGTACTGAGTGAGGATTATAAATACTAACCAGTGAAATTTGAGAAGATATGGAAGAACTTTTTTTCACAGGATGAAGACATAACTTTTAGAAGCATTTATCGTATGTTTTTGCCCATAGCCACACTACACAATCCAATCAAAAACCATGCCAAAAGAGAGGTGCTATAACATTTATCTTCTGAAAAAGAATAGCCAGGAGCTGTTGTGTAGAATCTATCTATTAAATTAGAAACAGGTGACTTGTATAACCCCTTACATCATGACATCTTGGCTTAGGTCCACATAGGTCAATAGCACGAATACTAGAAGTAATAACAGAAGTACTTCAAAAAGCAAAGAAAAAAAACCCAAAAAAACAACAAACCAACTTCTCAGGCAAAAAACTACTCTGTCAGCCTCAATTTAAAACCTTAGTTCTTAAAAAAATGGTGAAGTTTAGGAAAAAATGACTAAGATCCACGGCTGGCATACATAAATAATTAACAAACTCTGTTAATGTCTCAAGGAAAATATATGAAATAACTGACAAACTGGCATTAGCACTCTTCAGTACAGAGCCAAGAATAAATGGAGTCGTAAGTCAAAGTAGAATCAGAAAAAAATCCTTGTAAACCAATACATGCTTAAGAAACTCTTGAATTTATATAGAAAACAGTAGAAAAATACAGAAGATACTAGGCATAGTTTTCCTATGTAGGTTAAGAAAAAGATCATGATATATTTTTCATGCATTAGTAATAGGACAAATTTTCACTGGGAAAAAGTACAAAGAATGTAAAAAAACTGTTGGGAGAGCTCTAAAAGATGAATAGGTATATACTGTGAATATATTTATGTAAATTTTAAGATTTTGTTTAAGAGAAAAATCTTTTTTACATCTCCTTATTTTCTTTCTTGACATTTTATTAATATGTAACATTAAGTAGATTCTGCACCACTAACCAGACTGTACTTGATATATAATAAATACACACTCACACATGTCAACAGCTCCAAAACTAATGCCTCCTGTTTATTTCCATGGAAACAACAACAGCCACCACTACTAAAATGTACCATCCACCGCCTCACTGTGCTCACATCCACCGCTTTATCTTCATAAACATTCAGTAAGTGTCTATCAATGTCAATGGGTGCCACTTTTTGCTGCATGGAGAAATTTAGTGACACACCTTTGCTCCACCTGCACTTCCATGTCAGACACCATTTTGTCAGACTGTCCCTCTGCTGCCATCTGTCACACAGTAACAAAATCTAATGGAATATTAGTGGGAAGCTTCAGCCTCTGCTGTTATACCACCAACATCTGCCTCTGACATTGTGGGCCAACAGAATAAAATAGGAAGCATTGCTTTTGGTGCGACCCTCATACACACATATATTTTAAATTCCTACAGAAGCACCCAATTCTCCAATAACTTGAGCATATATTCAAATTTACACATTCCTTCCCATTCAGCAACACACCTACACTTTTAAATAGCATCTCATGGTCCTCGACAGAGGCAAGAGAGAAGATACCACAAAAAATCAGGTTATTAAAGACACAAGAAATGTATTTGTCTGTCACTACTGCATCAGTGATGGTTGCACTGTGTAGAACTACGAAGATGACCTTCCTCCGATCACTTTCAAATAGAGGCATTTCATAGCACTTTTTCACCAAGAGGCATTACAAATTTTGTGAGCTATGAAATCAAGCTGTAATTTCAAAAGCAACTTTTTAAACTCAGAATTTTACGAGTTAAAGTTGCAAAAGAGTAGCAGATCATATAAGCTAGCTAGCTGAGTAACCGGAACAGAGAGACTTAGAGGAAAGCATGTTGAGCAGCTGCTTGATATCAAAGATATTTTTTTTTTTCAGGGAAAGGAGTAATAATCTTGGAGCTCCACAGCTGGAAGCAATGTTTTGCATATAAAATACTCAGATTTGCCCATTCTTGCTGTTTTCTCTAATCTTCCCCATAGAACAACCCTATTTTGTTAACAGTGAAGTGTCACCCTCGGTGAATTGATAAACTTGTCAAGATGAAACCACTGACTTTCTTATGTCAGTTGCTTATAAAACATCGAGGCTGCTTAATGTTCAGGAATGTAACTGTCTTCTCTGTCTGTCAGTAGCCATTAAGCTTTCTGATGACTTACCTAAAGGAGGAGCCTTAGCAGGCACTATTGCAGATAAGCTTTATTGTGCTTGAAGCAAAATTTTCACTCCAGGGTAAAGTAAAATTCAGCTAATGCTTTCTGACATCTTTCTTATCCTGTTCTGAGCTTCTTTAGGGTAATAAAATTATGCTCGTTTCTTTTGCTAGGTAAACTGCCAACAGAAATTACTAAAATTAAAAACACAGTCATCAGGAAAATATTTATTTTGGAAACCACATTAAATTCTTTTGAAGACCCAGTCATTCAAAATTTACAGTAGTTCATTTGCAAACAAAATGTAATGGAAGATAACATAGAAGAGAGTTCTTAGAAGAGCGAGGTATGTCCTGGAGTGAAATACAGTCAGTTGATTCCAACTATATTCAGATGCACCAAGAATTTTTTTTAGAGTTCTCTCTGTCAACACGTCAAATCCATTTCATCTGCACTATTTTTTATTTCCTCATGTTGAAGATGTTAACCTTTGCAACCACCATTTTGCACAGAGAGGCTACAAAAAAAAAAGTTCCTCAAGTTAATGGCTATGTCAGGTGTGTACGAAATAACTGACAAGACAGAGGTCAGGACCTTAACAGAAATCAAGCTTGCAATGATAAAGTTTTTGGTATTGCTGATCTAAGATCTGTATGTTACTTCAAATTAGCTGCTTTTAAGGTTTTGCTATGGAATATAGCAGTTGTAAAGTCAAAATATTGTGAAGAAAGAAAACTGATGCAGTGATTATTTCTTCTTGGAATTAAAAGAAAACTAAGGTCTTAAGAGTATTCCTGACTTAGATGCTAGATTCTGACTGTAGGATTACAGTGAATTATAGAAAAAAAAATACATAAACAGAGTAGTTAACATAAATTTTTCAAATTTCAGCATCAAGAGAACCAAACTGTAAACTAAGGAGAACACTGAAGGGCATTACGGATTGGGCTTCAACTATCTGACCTTATTCTGAAAGTATGAAGGAATTCCTACCTGATGCAAACACTGTGGAGGATCTTCCTCTTGCAGATATAATTTTAAATGCAGATTCCTTAAGCCATCCTTTGAGTTATATTAAATTTAAGTAGCAAAGCTTCTGAGAAATCCCTTCATATCCATACACTGAATAGCTTACCGGAAGGCAATTAAAAGGTTTTCCCTCTATCTGTGATTAAGCTCCAGTTCGAAATGTCAGCTTTATTAAGCACTTAAGCGTTTGTTTTTTCTAATTATTGCTAGTACTCTTAATACATCACAGGCCACAAAAATAACATCAACAGCATTCGAATCAAGTTGATAAGTTTCTAAAAACATGCTAACCTTAGCAGACTAGATGCACTCTTTCTGTTCAGACTATTTGTGTTGTAATATAATGGATTCTAAAGAATAATTCACTGATCTTTGGTACCTCCATTTTTATTATTGTTTTTTTATTGCATAGACTCAGCACTGTGCTATTTTTTTGGGCATCATTCCATCTAAATATATAAGGTATTGTACTAAAATTCTACAAACAATTTTGCAAGTTCTTGAATACTATATTGCATTGAGTTGAACCTGTAGAGAGGCTTAGCAACAAACTAGTACACCAGCAATACACAGGACATTGCTATAAACAGCAGTAATAAAGTAAGTAAAATCAGTAAAAGTGATTTTTTTTCATAGCTCTATCATCTTTAAGGATCAGTTTGTAGCAATATCTGGAGCAGGCTCTGAATGACATTATCTAGCTTGCATGGGAGCTGGACTAGATGACCTCTGAAGGTCCCTTCCAACTCAAAATGATCCTATGATTCAGTAATCAATAGCACTAGATTCTTCTCATGAAATCAGTTCTTCAATCATAACTCAAATCAGGTAATAGTTAAAATGAACTGCATGTAGGTACTGATTATGTAAGTTAAATAGCCATGTCTTAATTCTGTTCATATAATGGGTCATTTCTGATCTGAGTTTGTTCTAAGCATACAGACCTTTTAGCACTGTTACTTAAGTTATATACATATTATACTATTAAATTTTATGATTGAATGAAATTTTTTCTGAAAAACTATGAGATTAGTCTTAAAAAAAATAAAAATAAAAAGAGCCACAAAAGTGGTGCCCAGTCCTGCAGTTAAAATAGTGTCTTACAAACTTCCTTAGAAAAATATTGTTTGAATATTTCATCAGCAAAAAAATTGCACTGTGAATTAATTTCTGTTAGCCAACGCAGGCAAAACTCTCAAATTATTACCAGTTAGAAACCATCATAATGTAGTTCTTTTTCTTCTTCCAGCCACATACCAATTTTTAAACAACTTTGTAAACAGTAATTACTCAAGAGAAAACACAACATTTGTCCAACTATGTTTTCATAACATAAGCAACAGATCTTCAACACAAAAAGAAAGATTATGAATCTTTAAAAATATTTTAAAATGATCCTTGTGGGCCTTCAAACTCAGGATTTTCTGATTCTATGAGTATTAAACATTATTATGTGTTATGACAATAGTAAAGTGAGTCCCTTTTTCAAACACGTTCTCTTAAAACAGCAGATGTGCACGTGCACACAGCACACATTCAAGCACTGCAATTATATTCAAGGTTCCAGTTTTATTGTTACAAAACAAATGAAATTCCCTCAGCGAATATTTCTGAAGTGGATACTAGGAGTAGACCATTCTCCCCATTTCTACAGAATTTGTACACAGTGCCTGACAAAAATCAGCAGCACTAGCAAAGCACCAGATGACTTTCAAAGAGAAGAATGAGAAGACAGGCCCTGCAAGACAGATGGAAAAGAAAGCCTGGCAGAATATTAAGGTGTCAAAGGACTGTTAAAAATAATTTAGATTACAAATAATATGAAAACAATCCCTTAAGAATGGGCAGTAAATTGGTACTCACTGGTATACAATACTCCACCATTGGGTAATGCAACTTATGCCCCTTGGCTGTACGGCCAGAAAAGAAGCAGCTCTGACAGACATCATAGTTGAAATGTTTTAAGCTCCGGTACCTGTGGGGACATTAAAGAAAGTGATTAGAGCTTCCTAAAATCAACATCAAGTTGATTTATTTATTCAGGTTTTCCTTAGGAGCATCTATATGCATAAGCAAAGCAACAAAGCAGAAAATGCATACAATATTCTTTTTACTAAATACAGCCACCAGGAGAACAATAGTTTTTTATTTCTTTTTAAGCCAAAACTGGATTATGTAATGATTCATTTCCAGACTCCACCCACCATTGTTTTTATAGTACAGCAATTCTGACCGGATGAGGTTATATCATTTGTCTGAAACTAAAATGAGCTAGCTGAAGCAAACCGAATAGCTACTGAATAGTTTAAGTTTAAATAAAATTGATTCCTGAAAGCAGTTTTCAGTACCCATCCACGTTTTTCCCCCAGTGAATTTCATGTTTTGTTTTGCATGACAATAAGTGTTTATAAATGCAAAGGTTTGCTTTTAAGGACACTGATGCAAAACCTCAAGAGCTCACGTATTAAATGGCAGCATCTGCCTACTGTTAAGATGCTAGACACATTTGTTTTTTTTTTGTTTTTGTTTTTGTTTTTTGCAGATCTCTAGTATCATTAGAGACAATTAAAAATGAGTAATTCTTTTGTCTTTCCTTGTCTTCTGCCTCCAAGTCCTCCCTTCCCACACTAAATATTTCAATATAGACAATATACATCAACTCCAACTTAGGCATCTACAAGATAAAACTGGAGCTTAGCCACTCTACACCCTGACAAGTGTTAATTAAGAAAAAATGAAACATCCATCTTTCATCTCCTCATAAGACAGGCAAAAGACTTTGATCAGATTAATAACTTTTGGAAGTACTTAACACCTCCATATTTATAGTGAAAGAAGACAACCACTAGCTCTTACTGACTAAAGTTTGCACGTCTAAAGCTAGGTGGGATGAATCTGACCAAAAGATTCACATTACTATCCTTTAACATAGCAGAAGCAACGAGAAAGCATAAGGAACAAAAATGACTCATCTGCCTCAGTACCTGAAGAAAAATCTCAGAATCACTTAAAGGTAAGACCGATTTATCATTCCCAAATAAAACACTGGATTATATAACCACAATAATAGAAAAGTGAACAGTTATATTTAGATCTGCTCCCCTAATTCGTTTTGCATCTTTTATAATCAGGAGCAATCAACACACAGATGCATGTTAGTTGTAACAGTACTCACAAAGGGCACTAAATAGCCAAAGCCTCATTATTCATAGTAAAAGCATACTGCTCAGGAGAATAACAAGAATATCCTTGGAATCATTTTTCCTTTGAGAATTCACAGCTTCCGTTGAACAGCCTACACATTTACCATGTCCAATGCTTCAAGATAGGAACTGTGCAAGACTGTGCAAGTTTCATCACAGTAACATATAAATGTTTGTGCCAAGCAAGGAAGGATTGCTACTGAAGGGAGTTCAGTACTGGCTGACATGACTGACTGCTTCACAGCATTTATGGAGGAGACTGGGGAAGGTAGCCAATTCACCTCTTGCTCTATGTGAGACATAGATGAGCTTTTCTTTTCTTACTGATCAGTTTCTTTTGCTCTTGTGCTCACAGAACATATGGAAAGCATTTACACTTCCATTTGCTGCCTCTTGTATCCACCAGTGCCAAAGTATTTGACAACAGTCCATTCTGCTCATCTGGGGGGACTGGATAAGCCAGAAAAACAGTGGTTCAGGTGCTCCTGCACAAAGATCCACACTGTGGTCTAACCAGGGATGGCAGTTCCTATCTTAAGTGGGTAAAATGGAGAAAAAGCAAATATGTCTTTTTGTATGTAAAAAAAAAATAGATATTTTCAGAGAAACTCTGCACCAAGCTCCCCTTCTCTTACCTGAAGCCAACAATTGGACATTCTTTGCAGATGTTGCACTTGGCCTGATGTTTTGCTGTTTCTGCAGCTGCCACGCGGTGCAGAACTGGTAGCCATACCATAGACTGTGGTTCTAAGTGCATCCAATCTATAAATTGTTTTACAGTAATTTCTGGCTTATTGTGGTTCTGTGGAAAGTATACATATATATGAATTTAAAATAATAAAAATAAAACAAAATAAAATTTTACAAGCCTTAACAAACAATTTTTCTTTAGAATTAAAAAAAAAAATACAACCTTATGTTAATCCATTCAGTGTCAAATTAATAAATAACCTGTTAAAGGATACATGAAACAGTCTTGATGCAAATAGAGAAAACAAGACAGAAAGAAAGAAAGCAGGGGCTAAACATCTGGGATAGAGGAGACAGGTGGTAATAAAGACGGAGCAGTCCACGATAAAGGCATCTTTGAACTGAAAGGACTCAAAAAAAGGGAAGGAGCGCTAAAGGGAAGAATCTTCTGTATTTCCTATATGACAATCTTGCCAGTGAAGATTGATGCCAGACTGCTAAAAGACAGTACTGCCTTCAAGGGTCTAGTAACTGCCATAAGACTCATGAAAAAATTTTAAATTGTATTCTGAGCCCATGGTTTCCAGATAGCATGTTAAATAAGAAATAAGTTTAAAAAAAAAAAAAAACTAAAAAATTAAAATAAATCTGTCACTTTATAGGCAATCATTGAAAGAATGCAGCAGAGCTAAAATGGTAGCATGACTGTTTTAAGATCAAATAAACATGTTTCCATTCAAGTTGTAACTAATAGAGGAAGCTAGTTATAAAGGAATTATGTTCATCCTATTTGTCAGCAATAAGAACAGACACTGCCTTTCTGAGCTCACTGTACCAGAACACAATTTAAAATGAAAGCTATACTTAAAATTGTAACACATGATTAAAAGCAACACAAGGCTTCTTAAACTCAAACCTTTCTGTTTTTGCTACTAGGAGGAAAAAAGGAATAATGTGCTTTCCTCACCAACAAAATACTTGTTTTCACTAGGATGAGATAGCTCTGACATCCTGCTGCATATCTTGTGCTTTCCTAATTATAAATCATAGAATCATTGAATGAATTGGGTTAGAAAGGACCTTAAGGATCATCCAATTTCAACCCCTTGCCATGGGCAGGTCTGCCACCCATTTGATCAGGCTGTCCAGGGCCTCATCTAACTTGGCCTTCATCACCACAACAGATGGGGCACTCACAATAATACAATCATAGAATCATAGAATGGCCTGGGCTGAAAAGGACCACAATGATCATCTACATCCAGTTTCAACCCCCCTGCCAAGTGTAGGGTCACCAACAACTAGACCAGGCTGCCTTCATCCAGCCTGGCCTTGAATGCCTCCAGGAATGGGGCATCCACAGACTCCTTGGGCAACCTGTTCCAGTGTGTCACCACCCTCTGTGTAAAAAACTTCCTCCTAATATCTAACCTAAACCTCCCTTGTCTTAGTTTAAAACCATTCCCCCTTGTCCTGTCACTATCTACCTTCATAGATAGCCATTCCCCTTCCTTTTTATATGCTCCCTTCAAGTACTGGAAGGCTGCAATAAGGTCTTCCCAGAGCCTTTTCTTCTATTGCTCTGGGCAACCTGTTTCAGTGTCTCACCATCCCTTGAGTAAAGGATTTTCTCCTAACATCTAATCTAAATATCTTCTCTTTTAGTTTTAAACCATTCCCCTTTTTCCTATCACTATCATACCATGTAAAAAGTCAGTTCTTCTCCTGTTTATAAGCCATAAAGAAAGGCCACAATAAGGTCTCTCTGGAGTCTTCTCTTCTCCAGGCTGAACAAGCACATCTCCCTCAGCCTATCCTCAAAGGATAAGCCTCCTGATCAGCTTTGTGGCCCTCTGAACCCACTCCTACAGCTCCACCTCTTTCTTGTGCTGGGGGTCTTGTGCCTGGATGTAGTACTCTAGATGAGACCTCACAAGGAAGAGAACTTGAGGCATTCATGTGAGATGAGAGATGCAAACTGGATCACCAGTATAAGCACTACACTATAAAACACAATGAAACATCACCTTACTACTGTATCTCACTCACAAATGAACAGTGTGGGAGATGGGGCAGATGACTTGAGGAACATATAAGATTGCTCCTCTGTCCTACACAAAGTCTGCCAGAACAAGTTAATAATTCATTTTAGTATGACTTGGACCACTTGAGGTCAATTATAGATACGTCAATCATCATCCCTTGTTGTCTGAAACAGCAACGTTAAAACCTTAGAGGTTTTAACATTAACTGGTTAAATCAATTTCCATATGTATCCAGCAAATTATTCAAGATTTCAACATACAGTCTCTCAATCTCAATCATCTCAGAGTTCAGAAATGAATTAAAAAAGCTAAATAAACAAATAGCTGTAAAAAAAAAAAAAAAAGCTAGCAGAACTGGATTTTCAGAGCACAGGATGAAAGCAAAAGTGCCTATAAAAGAAAGGTGAAAGAAAAATTTATTACAAGTTCTTTGTAACACTTAATCTGCTGGATTCAATAAAACTGCAGATATTCAAGTCAGTAATTTTATGTATTGTGATATTTTAATCCATATATAATTTCTGACAACGCATAAAGCAGCCACTTTCAGAGAAGTAATGTACTCTGGATGTACAGTTATCACTACCACACAGCCAGAGCCTTAGGCATCCCTGACAAATCCTAAGTTAGGTTGTGTTCCATTGCGACGTCTTCCTTCTCATCTTCTTTAAAGAGATAGAAGCTCCTTGCAGCCTCATTAATTGGCTGTATGCAGTATGAACTTGAACAGCAGGCTGTAAGACAGCTTTATTTTATGTTCTGATCTGCTGCATAAAGGCTCACAAAATGACTGTGGTTGAAATTTCATGCAACTGCAAGCTCTACTGTCAGAAAAACAATGCTAAATAATTTCCTGCTGCATAGGGTCAAAAAATTACTATTGCCATCATTTTCCTGTTCTGTTGAGATCACATCTTGTTCCAACAGGTAAAAGTACACAGTTTCTACAGAATCAGCTTTGAACGATGTGAAGCAGGGTAAAATGGCTACTACAAAAATTTCAACACCACTCACAGCAGCTAATATTGTCATTAACACCAATATTTATGCATTCTTTTGCTAGAAAATAATTTGATTGTCTCCTAAATGAATCAATCTTTCACTGCTCATCTTTAACAATGACTTTCCAGTAATTTTAACAATTTAGTTGCAGGAGCATATTTGTTTCTGTAAGAAAACTTAATGGCAAGTTGAGTTTTTAAGTCCATCTGCTATTTTTACACCAGGTAAATCTTACGGAGCTCATGACAGGTTTTTCCCATGAAGTTTTTGCTATCTCACCTGCTGGAAGCAGCTGCGCACGCTGGGTTCAATGTTGCTGCCACCAAAAGCCGCCACCTCACCCAGCTGCCGGGGGATCTGGATGGCATCATGCAGCAGCAAGCCAAGCTGCCTCTGGTCGCACATTTCTGTGGGACCTGACACTTCCTTGAAGAGATCTGCAACACCAACAAGAGGCACCAGCTCGTTTCATTTTCATCCATGCCCCTCTTACTCAGTAAAACAACAGCTTGAGTTTTGTCATTCCTTTAGTCCAGACATAGGCACAGATGACTGCCTGCCCATTTCCAACAGTGTACCCTCTCCTAAATCTTGACTACTTTGACTACTTTTGCTGGACCTGTAACCATGCAAACGAGAGAAATCAGGCCAGATGAATTGAACCATACAGCTACATAAGGTACTTCCCAATACATAACGTTATTATAGCTCCTACTACTCACGACCAGCTATGTGACAAAGAAAGAGACATGACAAAACTGAAATAGCTTTTTGTGCTCAACAGGAATCATGTTTGCTTCCTAGAAAACCACATCTGTTTCTACACACGTTTTTTTTATTGATTCCCTTTCCTAAGGCACATGATGAGCCCTGCAGCATAAGTGGGGCTCTGGAAAGCTGATGCAACAGAAAAATTTGCGGCTGAAAGGATCAAGTAAATTGTTCCCAGCACAGACACTTACTGGGAAAAAAGATAGTGCTTGTACCTACTTAAGAGTCACAAAAAAGTACTGAATTAATAGACCTGTGCACAGCTCAGAAAATATTTCTTAGTTTCTCTATAAACTTGATCGAGCTCTTTTGAGATTTTCAAGTGTTAAAATTTTCAGCTAAAAACCCTCATTATTCCCAACAATCCTCAATTTATGAACCTTATAGTTGTGTAGATTCTCATTTAGTCACAAGACTAATCCCTTCTGAAATACCTTAAACACAGAGTTCTTCTTAGAAAAGAATTTTAAATTCTGCGGATGGTGTAAGTTACAAAAGAATCATGAATTCTCGGTTTTCAGTTAAAGTTGGCTTTTACAGTTTCTTTTTGCACTCAGTTGCTGGCTTGGATTAAAGCTCCAAATAATGTTAAAAAGAAAAAAAAAAATCATTAATACTATGCTACTATACTCCTTCTTCATGTTTCCTACCTGAACAAATGTTAATAGATTAGAAAGAGAAGAAATTTGAAAATTCAATCTGATTGCACTTGTGATTGAGAAACAGACAAGCTTTGTTCAGAAACATTCAAGAGAAATTGTTTTATTATGCTCCATAAAATGTTTTATACTTCATCTGGAGTAACTGTCAAGCTTTGCCAGCACATTTCAGAAAGATGGCTCATATCTTTTCCCTTGGAAAGGGAACTGAGGAACTGAGGCAGAAGAAAGGATTTTCACAAAACAGAAATCCAGACGACTGAATGAATTTTTAGAGTTTCTTATATTTTTCCTGCCTAGACAAGCAGATGCTCCTACATCTTTAGCACCTAGCAGTAGAACAAACCTCACAGACAACAGCACCGACAGAACAAGCACTGCCCTGTTGTAGGCTTGCAGCTGCAGCTGAAATAGTTTTCATGTATATAAGAGCCCAGTTCAAAAAATGATAGGGTAAAAAATACCTGCTTGATTTTTTAATCAGGCAGTGTCAGGGGAGACAGGCACCACAAGAGCAACCTGCTCACTGCTTCAGCTGGGAGGAGGAGGAAACTTTCCCAAGCCCTAAAGCTTCAGTTGATTGGGAGCTAAGAGACAGAAAAAAAATGACATGGCAGGATAGAGAAGGAGAGTGATCAGCTTAGGCTGATACAAGGAGGAAATCAGCAAATACAGTGGAGAGCTCAAACTCCTCCAAAATACCCCAGAAAAAACAACAACAACTTACTTAACATTGGTATCTGTGCGATATAACTGAATGTCAATGTCCAAAGGAGTTAATGAATGGTATCCTGCTCCCTGCAAATCCTCAATGCCATTAGTGTGACAATGTTCAACTAAAGGCACAGAAAGCAAAAATGTTCCTACTATCTGCCAATAAGATCCTTATAAAAACCCATGAGCTGTGTCCTAGCAAAGGAGATTCAAAAAGCAGCTGTAAAGTGGCAGACACAGGAGATGGGCTCATTGATGAAAGTCAACCAACTCTTTCCCCCAAAATCACCAGGAATGATGTGAGGGCAAGGTAAGGCCAGAGATCATTTCCCATAGGTAGCTCACATATGTCCCTTTGTTTTGGGGACCAAATAAGCATAACATTGATACAGCTAGATCAGATAATCAGCCTCACAAATGGAAAAAATAAAAAGGAGGCCCTGAACCATTTGCTCTATAACTGGAGATGTAAACAGTTTACCACAATGCGATTATGCTCACAGGTCCATTTTTATTCACAGGAGCACCCAGGCATCTGCTTGAAGCTAAGCATGTCTTTAAGCATTTTCAAGAATAGGCATTCTTTAATTGAGGCTTCAATGTTTTTTCGGAAGTAATTGGGATTTTTTTAATTAAAGATTCATTCTCATGTCAACTCCGCAGTGCAGTGTATTTAAAAGAAGCTTACTTTAAAAATAAAACCTTTAAAAATGGTTGAATTTAGAAGATCTACCTATATTGGAAATGAATGCGTGGTCAACAAAATTACTATTTTTACTGGAAGTGAATGCTGACTGGTAAAAAGATAGAAGAAAAAAAAAAAAAGATTAATATTAGAAAAAGAAATGCAAAAGTTTGATTTTTCCCAAAATGGAAGAGAGAAAGATGAAGGTCAACTTTATTGGTAAACTGGAATTGTCATTCTTTGTTTATCATATTATTTCAGAAATCTAACGTCTCAGCAGCCCAGAAATTACGTTTCTTCAAGCTGATTCCTAAAAACCTGAACTCTGTGCAGGCTGAGACAGAAAACACCTAAGCAGAAAGCTGGATAAGCAGTTTACAAACAATTGAAAGGTCCAAACAAAACTTTTCTTAAAAACAAGAAACTTGCCTGTTTTACAACCAGCCACTCTGAGAAAAAATGCCTTTCTACCTGAGCAACATTTAATTTACTGTCAGCACGGTCTATGCCCTACTTAAGGACTCTAATCACACCTTGACAATGCCTGCCCACCCCTTACAATGCCTGGGATTGCCAAAGACTCAGAAATACTTAGAAGAAATACAGCCAAAAAGCAAAGGCAAATATCAGGGACTAGTGTGAGAAAGGAAAAATCAGAAGACAGAAATTTCTATAAAGGACTCATATTTGGGGGTCTGTTTTTCTTTCAAGTGGCTTTTCTTTATGTTTTTTCAAAATATTAGTATTAGCAATGTTTTTCATGAGAGAATCTGAAAGCACTCATCAGATATAAGAAAATCCGTCTCAACAGTATATGAGGAGTAGGAGATGATAAAAAGCAACAAAGGTCACACTAGAGGTCAGTTTGTGACACATGTGATGACCCCAAAATGATGACTGCATTCCCACCAAATGCCAACAACCCATATACAACACTGCAATTTCATTCCTTTCTCCACAAAATTTCTTCCACACTGAAGAAATATTTTGCTTTCTGACATTTCCATGGCTAATCAGAAAAGAAACAATAAAGCTAATAATACACAAAAGATATCACAGCCAGGCATACTGATCAAAAACAAAAAAAAGTGCACGCATTAACTGACTACTAATTCTCTGCCCTAGGAGGCCGTGCTACTATTTCAGTTTCAGATGTATTTCAAATTGAAGTTACGACCATTTGGCATGAAATACTCCTGGGACTTATTCTGCATTCATTTTCTTGGTCTTTTCGAAAAAATCTGCAGATCTACTGCTGCTTTTATTTCACCATTAGGCACAAAGCAAAGGCACAAAAACTAATCCACTGCAGTCATTTCCTCATTTTGCTGTCAGTGACTGTATTGTTAAGCAACTGCAAGTATACTAGTTGGTTAGTGACAGCAGTTTTAAGTGAGTTTATTCTCAGTAGGAATTATTTTTTTAACCATCTTTTTGTAGGACTATCATTCTGTTAACTGCAGTCTAAATCCCGAGCTGTAGAAAACTGTTCAATTTTGCACCAAATTGCAAATTACCTTCTGAATTGTCATTGCTAAACAAAGATATGCCCACAAGACCATTTAGTTATGGACTATTTCACTGATACATCAAATGACAAAGAAAGTTTAGTAGTAAGGACTCTACTTCAGATGCTGAAATATGCCACAATACATAAGTATTGAGCAAAAGTACAAATAGCTTATGCATATTTCAGCATCTGAAGTTTTGAATCCAGGATTACAAGATGACTTACAAACATTTTTAAAGAGAGCAGAAATTGATGCAGAACTTCAAAAGCCCATGGCAAATGCTATTGCTAACCATTTTATATGGTTTCTCCAAACGTCTAAGGGAACTACTGCAATGAAAAGCAATTTTAAGACTATGTGCCTAATATATAACTGTCAGTCACTTATGATGCTCTTATACAATGCTTAATCTCTCGTTCTGTATTTCTCATGAGGTTCTGTCATAAACTTTATTGATTCTCTTCTACTCCTGCAATTATTTTGATCAAATATTTTCAGCAAATATTTTCAAACTACTCAGTATTTCTCAAGCTAGTAAGGTTATTTAAATCAATATCATTTAAACTTCCATTGTACTATTCTGGCAGTAAGCACATGTACTGGAAAATTATCTTCAGAATTCAAACCATCTTTCTCATACGTGTAAGAAAAAGTTTCTTGTTGTTGTTTGTTAAAATCAGAAAAGAGTTAAAGAAAATTAGTCAAATAGACCACTTCTCTAACTTCTACACAGCTACATTTTCCTTTGCTTTTGGAAGAATTGTAATGCTGTGAACTATGACAATGCATAACTCACATCAATACTTTCCAGTCAGGATATAGAACCTACTTTCTCCACTGTCACAGATGATTACGAAAACAACAATTCTTTTTTACTTACTCATAAAGAAACAGTCTTGCTGCAGGCACAAGAAATGTAATACTGCAAATTTTCCAACAATTTGCATTATTACTATATGTGACTTTATATACAAAAAAAGCATTTTATAAAATACATTCTTACATCTGTACTTCTCTTCCAGAAGGCCCTTAGATAGAGACATCAAACCAATTTTCAGGGACTGCACTCGAATTTTTCCAGTTCGGCCACTGAAATTATAAAAATAGAACAATGTAATGTAGTTAGTTTCATTTCAGTGTAACTCAAGTTTACTCAAAACAAAAAATCATCGATGAGTTCTGTTTCATATCTCAAAACAAATTAACACTTTGCAACACATTAAGAATGCTTTCATTACAAAAACTAAATAGTTTACATGTCAAAACAGTGCACGCTGCTCCAAAAGAGCAGAAATTCTATAATCTATAAAATTCATGATATGACTTAAGAATGAGAAATGCACTGAAAAGATGCATATAAGCATGCAGCAAGAAATATAGTATGAAACAAGCACTTCACTCTAATACCAAGTTTTCATATTGAAGGAATTTCTTCCACTTCATTTTTTCCCTCTGTCTAAAATGTTCTGATGTACATGTGCACCAACACAGTGTCAATGACATGCAGTAATTAGACAATGTTTAGCTATTATTCTTTCTAAGGAACATGACCTCACGCTCATCTTGTCCAACGTGAAAAGAAATCCACAAACCTCCAAAGCACAAGGCAAACCTTAAGCAAACTTAACAAAAAAACAGCCCCACAGTTCCCTCTCAATTTGTACATTTTTGATTTTTGGTTGCAAGTGATTTTAAACCTGCAAGAAAAACACTGTTCAAACAGATACTAAAACAATAAAACCTATGTATATGGAAAAGGACAATTTTAAAGTTCAAGATCAGTGCAAGAAACATATTCTGTGAGAGATCTGATGATTTCTGTTTCCAAAGACTAGAAAACACTGTACAATTTGTCTTTAGATGAGACACAGCAAACAGATCATGAGAACAGTAGTTAAATTGTACGTATTTGCACACACGGTACTCTGCATTTAAGGTTAGATGAGTCCTTCTCCAGCAAGTAAGATTATAATAAAATTAATATCATCCAAAACACTGGTTTGATCACTTTTGTGATGAATATGATATATCCTTTAATTACTTCTGGAGTGGTTATTAGATATTCCTTTATATCCTCCCCAATTAACATATGTTCTGCTATCTAATTTACTTCACAAATGCTGCACTGAATACGAGATTATTAATTTATTCTTGGTTTCTCAGTACACTACCTAACCACCCTACAAATATTAATGCATTTGTCTTCACAACCATCACCTAATCTTGTGAGACTAGACAGTATTATCTTCTCTATCCCACAAGTTGAAACAGAGGTACAGAGAAATTATTGCCAAATTAATCAAAAACGCCCATTACTTTTACTGCCTAGCTTGAAAACCAGGACCCAATTTTCCAGAATGTTGTAAAAGTGCCACCTATTTTATACATTCAAGCTTAGCTTCAAATTACCTCTTTCAATCACAGACAAGACATCATTCTGGCAGAGCCTAACTCATAAATGGTTCTTTTTGCAACCCTGATAACGCTTTCGGTGCTCTTCCCCGAGCATGGTTATCTGTGTTTTAAATTTGTATTCAAAGGAAAAACAAAGCAGAACATTCACTTGTGTTTGATTTAATTAAGGACTGTCTAGAGTATTTGTGCAATTGTTTGACTCGGCAGCTTAAAGGTAAGAGCATGCACATGGAGGCTTCAAAGCTCTCCAGGTTTCAGCAGGTTGTTGCAGGGACTGTGAAAATTTACTTTACACAAAAACCACTTCCTTAATAAATTATAAATGGAATTCAAAAGCCTACAATATTATATTTTTCTAAAGAGCGACATATTTTCCCCCAACCTTTTTCTAGAAAATAGCTAAGCATTAGCATTGAAGTTTTATCTGTAACAAAACAAAACAAGCAAACAACACAAAAAAGCATGCACACAAGAAAACCACCAACAAAACCTCACACTAAATCTACAGACTTTGTAGCATTGATACTTCTTATTCAGTGATTTAAGTTTGCCCAGCTTACAGAGCTACAAAATCATTGAGGCTGTGAGATCATTTGGTCCAACTCCCCGCTCAGAGAGGACTCAGCTAAAGCAGGTTGCCCAGGACCATGCTGTCTAGTTGGATTGAAAAACTTCAAGGATGGAGACTCCACAGTGTCTCTGGACAACCCATGCCATCGTGCTTGATCACCCTCACAAATATGTAAGAAAAATATTTTTGTGTTAAGTGGAATTTCCTGTGTTTCAGTTTTTGCCTATTGCCTCCTGTTATGTCTCTGGGCACAAGTAAGAAGGGCCCAGCTTTACCCTCTCTTCTGCTCCCATCAGGTATCAGTGCACACAGATGAGATCCCCCTCAGTCTTTTCTCTAGGCTAAACAGTTGCAGCTCTCAGCCTCTCATTATCCATCAGATATTTCTAGCCCTTAATCATCTCCGTGGTCCTTTCACCAAACTCTACCCAGATATCTTATAATAGGAAGCCAAGAACTGCCAAGAAGAGCTCTCCATACATGACCTCACCTGTGCTGAGTAGGACAGGATCATCATCTACCTGCTGATAACACCATTGCTAATGCAGTCCAAGAGCCTGTTGGCCTTTGCCACAAGCACATTTTGTTGGTTCATGTTCAACTTGGTTTCCAACAGGACCCTAAAGATCTTTTCTGCAAAGCTGCTTTCCAGCCAGTAGACATGCTGCCTGTTCAAGGTCATGGGGTTTTTCCCTCCTTGCCATTTCCCTTCACTGAACATAATGACATTTTCATTGGCCCACTTCTCGAGCTATTCCAGGTCTCTCTGAATCCCAGAACCATTTTGTTGTGCTTTGTATACAGATACCTCAAATCAAGCTCTTACAGTGGAAAGGTTCAAGAAGCTTTAAAACCTGAATTCATACAAAATTTATGACTCAAGTGTTTAGAATTAAGTGTCAGCATGCTATTATGACACACATTAAAGCAATACAAGCATGCCTATTATTACAAAGTCAATTGGTAAGACCAGTTCAGCAGCTCAGATATTATTCAGTCTGATCTTGGTTAAGGAAACACCAAATCATCGTACCTCTATTAACTGGTATAAAGTTGCCCATTCTCAGACAATTTAATGACAGGCAGTATAAAAAATGGCACATTATTGACCTCCGATCTGTCTTCAGGTAAAAATGGCAAGCACTCTTTATGTTTACAAAAGGACATTCACCACCTTGGACAAAACTGAGCCCTCCTGCCCCAGTCTAAGGACCTGCCAACCTTATAATGTGACATTGACATTCTTTGTCCTCAAACAAACTGCATTTTTTTTCACTCTTTCTTTTTAGAAAGAAACAAGAGTGGTTAGAGAGATTAGGGAAAGGAGGAAATTTTAAAAATCTTGTTTTTCTAGATTATTTGTTTGTCTGTACTTAAGTTTCTGGCTGGATCTGGGCTGTATGCCTCAGGTATGAACTCCCTGTTGCACCTTCATCTACTGCTTGTCAGGAGCTGGCAGAGAATCCAGAACTAATTCAAGTTTTAAACCTGCCAAAAGTAGCATAAAACAAACAAACAAACAAAACAAGTTTCACATATTTTCCAGGCTGGTAGGACAGAGAGTGCCTTGAAGGCACAATACCAGAGAGAAAACTAGCTTAGTGGGAAATCACGTAGGCCAAGGAAAGAGGTCATACTCATCAGTGGGTACCACAGGTAGATAGGCAAGCGAGAGTTGAGTACAATTAACTTTGTAGCATGTTTTGGACTCTCCATCCAAGAAGAGACCAACCATTCAGCTGTTTCAGAGATCCAATACAGCTGCAGAGAATATTAAACAACTTTTGTCTGCAAAAAATGACTATTACTACCTTACAGTATCATAGACAAATGACAGAAAAAAGGATGTGCAAAAAAATAGCCACAGCATTAATAGAGAGAGAGCTTTTATCCTATATCATATTTCAGCAGATAGCAGAATTTGTGGATGCAGAAAGGCAGTGACAGTGGCAGGCAGCAAGAATAAAAAAAACAGGTGCAACAGGTCCGTGATGTCTGAAACAGAAACTATGTTCCTCATTTCTCCCACTCCCCAGGGGCTGCAGTGCAAGAGCAAAAAAACTCAAGCTGGGAGAAATCTGGGATATTAACTCCACATGATGTTTTAATTTGTCAGGTAAACTAGAAAAAGAATAAGTAACAAAAACACAATGCATACAGAAATTTCCTTATGGGAAATTCTTCTTGAAATAATGAGTCATTGCCCACAATTAGTAGTACATGTAGTATATATACTCATATAATGTATGACAGACTTTAAAATATCTGAAATAACTAATTTTAAGGGTTGTTAAGTTATCCCATACTGAAAGCTATCGGTCCATTTTCATTGGACATTTTAGAAAATTTGACAGTATACAGTCCAGAACAATAACCAGCAGCTCTTGCTTCTGGATGATTTAAACACAGGCCTGCCTGCATTTTGATTTAATTGATCAATCACTTTATTTCATGGCTCTCATTTGAAAAAGGCAAAATATTTATTTTTAGTTTTATTTTAAAAATCACCTGGGCTAATTAACTCAAAGTGCTTTAAGTTTGCAAAATGCTTATAGGGCAAACGTTGCTTTCTGGAACAACCTGTGAGTCCTTGAGAAAGTAAAAGTCACCGAGTAAATTTAATCTGTTTCTCTCCTCTGCTCAGCTTGAAGGATGAATCATTCCTGATGTGTCAGAAAATACCAGAACACAACAGCCTTGTCTACTATTTCCAAAAATAAATTGGTTCTTTTTAAGCACCAAAGACATCTGTAGGTAAGTCTGAAGAACTTCCCAACTTGCCATCAATCTGTGAATCCGTAATTAAATCTCAGGTTAATAGCATGCGACTAACAGATGCTTTTTGTAGACAGTTTAATGATTTGAAACATTGTATACGTATAACACCAGTGCAATAAACAACTGAAATGCCAAGAGACAAATTAGTTCTTTCCTAAAGGCCAATTAAAAAAAAAAAAAAAATACAGTTGAAAATAGGTGCCTGTTCTCTTTCAGCAAACTTTTTTTTCTTGAATGGATTTGATAGGGGAGCAAGGAAATACTGTGTCAGAGGTAACCTTCATCCTCCATTTTTCCAAGTTTGAAGTAATATTAAAGCCTTTCATCAGTTTGAACAATTACCTATAGTAACACTTTCAATGTTAACAGCAAGGGGAAGTCGGAGCAACAGGAAACATTACTGAAAGAGAACGGTTTGTTGCTAACTATACTTTTAAATATGAACAGATTAAACAACTGCTTTCTAACTGAAGTTAGGAAACAAAGGTAAACCAAAAAAATAGCGTACGAGTGACAGTTTGAAAATAAAACCCTAGTAACCACAGAAAAAATTCTCTGACCTTATTAAGCCTCTCATTCTAAATATCCAACAATATTTAAGTGAAGCAAGCCACTGATTTACTGCTGTAAGTGAAATGTATATTCATTCACAATACAACGATCTGCAAAATAAAAATATTTGCCCAAAGAAGTTCCAGTCATTATTTTAAGTGCTCTCCAATATTCCAGAAGTAATGACAAGGAGTCTAATTAACATATATGTCCCATTAGACAAAAATATTGGAATGCTAAGACGTAAGTAGTCAGCATATAACTGGCAAGCAATCATATGTACTCTGTCACAACTCTTTCAGGCCCCTGCCACAATAACTAAATAAAATTTTAAAAATCTATGAAGTATAGGAGCACTGGTCTGTACTATGGACTGTTGCAATTTCTCATTTTAAGCTACTGCACTTTAATCTCTGTATCAAAATTATCAAAAGGTCTGACTTTTTGAAAAATAACTTTCTCAGCTGAATTGTTTTTCTATTGTGAACACTTTGTCCAGAAAATACATCTGAAAAATTCATATAACAGTCCTACAAGTCTAGCATTTTTGATACATGATGTGCTATCTTCATACACACTACGTTAATACATCACTAAATTCCTATAAACACCATGAACAGAAGCTTATTACTTACCTATCATACACATTGAGTAGCCAGTTAAGACACATATCTACACAGAGAGGAACATTAACCATTTCACTGTGTTTCTCTTCAAGTCCACTGTAGATGGTAGTAAGACAGCTGATCACATCCTGGACACCAATGAGCTGGTCATTTTGACTCAACTTGTGCTGTTTGAAAATTTCAGTTGTTGTGTTCAGTTCCAAGAGATCCACTAACAACAGGGAAATAAGGAAAAGAAAAAAGGCATGAATACAGACACCTGAGCATAGTGCTGAAATAATTGTTCATGTGCATATTGTAGCAAACAGTGTCGATAATTAGACAAGAAGCAGTTTTCATTTAGTAACATTACAGGGAAAAAAACATTCTCTGCTAGAAGTTCACAGCATTTTGGTACAACATATTTTAAAAAAAATGGATAAACGAGAACACCATAATGGCACTCCACAGTTCAGCAGAACATCTAGAAAGCCACTGAATTAGTTTGTGTAATTAGAGGATCCTAACTTCAGATGCATGCGCTTTGGGAGTCCACTAGACTTAGTCTTCTGCATTTACCATACAGCTGAATCACATTTCAAGATTACCGCTTCATATTAAACATAAAGCAAAGCAAATTCTTAGGTGAAAATATTCTCCAAAATTCAGTAGGAATGTACTGAGACCTGATAAATCAATTGCAGTGGCTAAATGGAAGCTTGAAAGAAAGTAGGGTGAAGGACAGTGAAGTTTGTTTTGTTTTCCAGAACACTAAAATCTATGCTTACACAAAAATCATTTTCAACTCCTTTGTTGCAGCATACTTTCTATAGCAGTTGATAGCACATTTTACAGGTAACATGGGTTTAATACCAAGTCTCATACAGATGTGAGATTGTGAAAACATTGTTTTGGCATGGTACAAATAAAAAGCTGCCTGTGAACTCTTCTAATTCCTCTTGCAAAACAAAGTGAAAAAAGAAATACATTTGATGTAGAGGAAGGAAGAGTAATATAAGTCAAAGGGTAGTAAAACTCCAGTGATATTTTTGGACAGAAGTGAGGACTTTAGCAAAACAAACAAAAGATATATATATTTTTTTATTAGCATGTGTGCTACAGTGTATATAAAAGAAGTGTCCTGAGCTTATGCAGAGCTGTTTCTGGGGACCCAGGAATGAATCTATACTATAATTGTCATTTCTCAAAGGAAATGAAACATGATGTGTTACAAATTGCTCTGTACCAATGGTGCTCAATAGGGACCCCAGAAGGGCAGTTTGTGCAAATTAGGTAAGTCTAGCTTGGGCTGAAAATAAGCAGAAAAAAAAGCAGGAGCAAGACAACATTAACCACTATGAGCAATATGTCAAAGATTTACTGAGCATCTAGCAGAAAAAAATAAGGTTATCAGCCAAAAGAAGGTTATATTTCCAATTCCAGTGCCTTAATCTACCTTTCCTAACACAACTGCAAAATGAGAAACTTTAACATTGATTCTATTCTGACTGTACTGAGGACATATGTATGTTTGTTTTTTCATTTCTTTCTTTCTTTTTTTTTTTTTAAGGTCATCTTCTTGGGCTTGTAAATAAATGCCAAACATTATTTAACAAGCATATTTAATTGCAGCAAAACACCTTGCCACTAGTTCGACCTGAGGTAGCCCAAGGACTTGGCAGTGCACTGCAGTATCACCTTCTATATGATCTATGTAATATACTGGAAATATCTCACAGGCATATTTAAATTATCAAACAAAACAAACAAAAAAAATACACACAATGCAGCACAGAATATTTGTTGAGGGTGTGGAGGGAGGGGCTGAGGCCTGCTATCTGCAGGACTTATCTGCTGGAGTTAAGATCTCACATTCATGGTTCTGCCAAAGGATTCTAGAGGGAACTGGAAAGGGACTTTCAGTATTTTCACACTAAAGGAAACTGCTGCTCTACTAATGAAGACTAAGCAAAACTTGTACACCATTCATGGAGAGCAACCAGAGGAAAACACTGTCCCTACTTATTCCAGCATTCACCTGGCTGAATGGACTTTGGGTACAGGCAGCCATCCTGCAGCAGTAAGGGCTACACACTAGCACAGTCCCTAGATTGGTTTGAGGTGAACAGAGGATAGTTTCTCATTCTAAATCAGTTACTGAAAGTTTTTAAACTAACCATATTTACGCAGATGCAGAAAAGTTAATGTGAGACTCACATGCCATTGCTGGCATGAAGCCTACTGTATACAGCTCTTAGTGGGTTTCTGCAGTACTTCTGCACCTGCTCAAACATGCTGAATGGCCAATGATCCTATTAACCAGCAAATGGACATAAGGGTCATGCCTTTCCTGTCTGCAGTGAGAAGGTTTTCCCAAAGGAAAGCAATAACAGAAAACATCATTCAGCATGGTTCAAACGTGTGTGCAATGCACTCGGAAGCAACTAATGATATACAGCTGGTAGTGACAAATGTAAAACTGCTGTAACCCCAGAGAAAGCAGGCAGACATTGCTGAGAAATTTCTGTATTAGAAAGACCCTGTGAATGCAAATGTCTGGACAGATCAGGTAAGTCTGCGCAGCTCTTTTTCAGTCCAGTGTACCTTACTGTTCTTCCCTTAGCCCTGTACAGTTAACATTCCCATTGGCATTTTGAAGTTTTGTATCACCTTAAGGAACTTAGTGACAGCACTCAGAATATACATGGAGGTTTTGCTCCCTCTTTCCCTTCCAGTACTACACTTCAGTATGTGGAGCAAAATCATTTTTTGGAAATGAGCTGAAGTATGCTGCATAGTAGTAAAATACTGTCAGAGTCTGGTGCTACAAAGCTGCTCTAAAAACACTGTGCAGGATATTCTCTCTGGCACCATTCTTGTGCTACAGCATTTTTGCCCCACATATTCTAAGACAGAAAAACTAATCAAGAATTTGTTCTTGCCAGCCTGCAACCTTTCTCAGCTTCCTGCAAAATAAATGCAAGGTATGTACATACACACATCAGTCCTAGGAATCTACCTTCCAAAACCAGAGCAAGACAAAACATAATTCTATTTGCCTATTTCTGAGGGGGCAGCAGGGGAAAAAGAGCCTCCTCCATTCCATTTTTATTTATTTACTTTTAAACTTAGTGATAGCAAAGACAGAAATGAAACACAGATCTTAAATGACTTATTTTTGAAGCTGCTGGTAAAGCACTACTCTGTATTACCAGTCCTTACTGCAAAGTCAAAATTAATTAAGTGCAAGTGGGACTAAACAACCTGCTTCAGCTGTGCCCTTGGAGTTCTCACCAAAAGGCCTTTTCAGCTGCATAGACACTGTAGCTGTGACAGCAATTTGTCATATTTTACAATTTACAATGACCTCATTTTCTAGTGATTTGTTTTGACAGTTTCTCTGCCTTAACTCATAAGCTTTTCTAAGGCACTCTGCATCCAAACACCTTTAAAAATCAGTTAAAATTACAGGAAATGCAACGGAAGACTAAAGCAACTCAGACGAGAATGACTAGCAGGGGCACAGAAGATGATTCTGTCCTCACCTTTCAAAAAACTCACCAACAATAAAAAGTCAAAAATTCTAGATGGCACTTAATCACTGTCTCCTTTCGCAGAGACAGAAAGTTGTTGTAGAATTCAGCTTTGTGGATAATCTACATTATCCTTCTTTAAAAGTTATGTTGTGCTCTCACAAATTAAATCAATGTTTTGTCAAATATACACACATAATAAAGTTTTTTTAGCTGTAGTACAAAAGAAAAGCAGGTACTCAGTCTTTCTTATCGTGCGACAGAGAAATGGAGTAAGCATGCAGATTCATAAACAAGGCATGCAGAATCCGTAAAGATGACAGTTTTACTCCTGGCTCTTTCAAACTGGAATATTCTCTTTAGCTCTTACTGCTTTTCCCTCTCTCCACTTTGCACTTCTCTCCTCTGAAATTGGAGACAGTATTCATTTTGATAGTAGCTCACTTTTGAAGTCTATGAATGAGGAGAGCCAACCATTGCAGTTATTACAAAAGTTGGCATATTTTTTGAAAAAGCAAGGGCAGAGAGTATACTTCTCCTCAAAGCTTACTGGATGTTACAAATGCAAAGTCTGTTCTATACAAGTTGCTAGACTACCAGTATGCATGTCAAGAACAGGCAGCATAATCAACATCCATCAAGTGCAGTCTGTTTTTTCAATTTTCTTTCTTGACAGCGGTATAAGAAGGAGATTTTTACTTTGCTTTCTTGCCCCCCCAACCCCCCCCTTTTTTTTTTAAAGGTACATGTTGATACATACTGTTTGCCCTGTACACTGGATAAGCAGAAAAACAATCTTGAAAGGCTTTTCCCATACCCTCAATATAAAAACACATACTATTATTATCAATTGAAGCAGCTTATTTTGTCATAGTATGTTTTTCGGGGACTAAAATATACAGCAGTATCAACTATCTATAACCAATATATAAATCCATGCTCTATACTTCTGTACTTAGAATGACTTATATTCTTCTTTATCTGGAGTTCACCCAGAAATATATTCTCTCTGAGAGGATTATTATCAAAGTTATATCATGCAGTAGTAAACACTTGAGAAAATTGACTTTAGTTCTCTAAGATATTGTATAATTTCTCATTTTAAGTCAACATTCAGAATATTAGCTTTAATCATTTCAGACTAGGTTTTAGCATTTCAGATCAGGAATGTTATACAACAGGCAGAGGATTAATCTTCATCTTCCTGTCACTTCTTAAAATATTATCTATGGGCATACTACTTCAGTTTGCCTTCCACACTTCTTTTTGGTCACTGATTTTCTTTATTTGTGACAATGATACCTACTATTGGGAATTCTTATCATTTCATTGGTAGACAATTTTTTAAGGATGTACATGGTTCCTTATTAAGTGTTAATGTTATGAAGCTTAAGCTGACCCTCCCTTCCAGAAGTACTGTAAGAAACTGTCTCAAAGGGCAAACTCACAGCACAGTGCTTTCTGTAGTCGTCGGATTTTGATGGCTGTACGGTAGGCTGAGAAGCGTACATTGTTCAAGTCAGCTGAAAGAGCAGAACAGAAATGTGAGCAGTCTTCAAAAGAGTCCACAAGTCTTCTTCACATGTAATTTTTCAAACTGCTACATACTGAAAAAGCCTGACATCCCTTATTTTCACTGCAACGAATTAGTAGCATAAATCAGAACAAACAAGTTATTGTTAAAAAAAAATCCACCTGCAGAGAATGCCTGATGGCTTTGGCAGTCCGGTCTGTTCTGAGATTACCACAGCTGATTCCAAACACTATCTTGAGCAGATGTAACACACATACATGTCAGAGTTTTATACATGTATTATTAGATACGGAGGTTGGCAGCCCTGCATGTGGCAGGGGGGTTGGAGCTTGATGATCCTTGAGGTCCCTTCCAACCCAAGCCATCCTATGATTCTCTTAAGCAGTGTTGAGTAGATTTCAGACAAGTGTTCAAATATAGTACATTCATCAAATGTCTTGAAACTCTATTAGATAATATATAGACATAACGGGCAGCAAAGGTCACAGTAATGGAAAAAAATGACTCTTTAACCCATTATTTCCATGTGATGACTTTGTTAACACTGCTTTGAAAGAAGTAGTCAGATTACCATAACTTCTATTTTACAAACTGATAAGTACAGTAGTTGGTTATTTTTCCCCACACTTAACAGCATTTTATCCTGACAGGCATGTTGAATTCACTGTATTGTAATAAGGTCTAGTCTTTAATGATAGCATAGATGCTCTGATATATTACAAAAATTAGTTCACTCCAGACTGATAGCCCACATCACTGGAAAACCCCATATGAATTTAACAGAAATAAAATACTGCATTAAAGAACAGAGTGAGAATATTTTTCAGAAAGAAAATTACAGACATGAGCAAGACGGTAGGTTTTGTGCAAAATGCATCGCCTCAGAGTGGGAAATACTATAACATAAAGCTCATGGAAACTCAGATGTGGTCAACAGATCAATCCAAGCTTTCACTCATGGAATGAATGTCATATAAGGGATTAAGAAATGCACTCACCTAATGACTGGAAAAGGTCAGTCATTTTAGGATGATCCCAACAAGTTGTCTGGGTCTCATGACTACAAAGGAATAAGGCAATCAAAATTTCAGGCAACAGATATACACATGTGAAAAGGACAAAAAAAAAATCTTCCGACTTTGTGTTAAAAAGGGAACAACTCCATCAATTATTTTATCAAAAGATCTGATCTGTGACACTCAGCTTCTCAACACTTTTAATTGTTAAGTTAGACAACAGCCCATCCATACTTAACATTAATTTTTCATTCTAAATACAAAACAGAAGCACATATAAAGCTGAAGCCCATCAGTATGTTGAAAACACAAAGTTTCCTGCAGCAGTAGCATAATAAAAATACTCATAATATGCATTTTAAAAATAAAAAGCATTGATGTTTTACTTTAGACCTCAATGCATATCTGAACACATGTATCAGAAAACATATAACAATTGTAAACTTTACGTGCAGCACATCTAATTGAAAATCTGATCACTCATCTCATGGCCAGTTTGTAAGTATGTTAATTCAGGGGGGTGCTAGCACTCACAGAATTGAGATTCAATAGGCAGCATCAATTAGCCACAATTTGTTAAAAAATTAATTTGAGAAGTTGTGTTTAAAAGATCATAGTACTCACTTTAAAAGTTAATAATGAAAAAGTAATGATGCTAGGTTAGCAGATGATAATGAGAATAGAACATGGCTTATTTAATCTTCACTTCTATTTAAAAATTCACACATTTTTCTTACACGCAGGGGTACTCCGTTGTAAAAAATGACTTCAAATGGCACTAGTCCATTAAATGTAGTGGATTGTATCTTCACATTGTATGAACAGCTGTGCCTCAGGGGGTGCACAATAATTTATCATTGATGATTATCATTTTCCAAACCAACGAAGAATGAACCCTTTTATGCTAAGTGGTGGAAAACCAGAGGCTAGAAGACCCTTGCTGCAAAAGGCTACAGAGACAGAACAGGTTCTGTGAAGTGGAGGCAGGCTCCAAATGAAAGTCTTTCTTCACACTGCACCCTTCTGAGATACACTACTGGAAAGTGCATGCACTGTGCCTCTGCACTGAGGATCTGAATCCCATTTTACATTCTGTGCACCAGTGTGACCTTTCCAAGTTTGGGTTTGGTCTAGGCCTCTGCAGTCAACTTCTCTCCATTATTAGGCCAGTTTCTCTGCCACGGATCCCACTAGTATGTTGACACCATCACGAATTTGTGAGGTGGTTTTCATGGAAGTTCATAGCAAAATATGTATTTCTTATTAATCCAGTATGTATTAATCATCTTTTTACTTATTATTATTATAGATGACTGAAAGAAAGGAAAAGCCCTGCACATGACTATATTTATTTAAACATAAGGGTTTTATTTGACATATAGTCCAAATAGCATCTTCTGTTAAGGTACTGGTTGACTTTCAAATGTTCCAAATTCAGGAAAGAGCTGAAGTAAATCCTTGTATTTGAATGCAATTTTTATTATGTATTTATGCCTAAGTAGACCTTCTTTCCTGAACTGTAAGTTTTCATTGTTTTCAGTTTGATAATATCACTGCAGGAATCGCATTCAAGGTTTCAAATTCTAAATGGCGTGTTCAAGGTCTTGATATGCTGAACTCCAAAGTCAAGGCATACCACTACCTAAATCACTGGTTTTACAGTGTCTAGAAAGACGTTTTAAAAAGAGCATTATGTTTATCCTTGTCCAGAAAAGTCATTTCAGAAAACAAGTAGCTATACAATTTTTCCCCTAGCAGGGGCACACGAATAAATCATGAAGAAGCCAACATGAAAAGAAGGATGTATCTGGACTTGGTGTAATGCCAACGTAAAGGTAACTGACTGTACAGCATTCTCACAAATCCAAGTATAAAACAAATTACGTTATGTTAGAAAGAAGATATATGGGTTCAGTAAACAGGAACAGAAATATAATATAATGGCTGTAAAATAATCTCAAAGCCAGTTCTGAAGCTGCCAAATATCTGCACTATCATGTTAAATGGGATGCCATCATTATTGCTTTAATTTTTTAGAATTGGTGTCTTAACAAAACCCACTGCAGCTGTCCACAGTAATCAATCCAATAAGTGATCAATTTAATAAAGCTTTTTGTGAAGAAACTGCTTTACCTCGACTTTTTTGATCAAGAGGAAAAAAAAGAAAGGGAAAAAAGGAAAAAAAGACCAAGACTGGCAACTTTACTGCTCACATTACAAGTAGAAGACTTTCAAAGTTCTTTGTTAAGAGCAAACAGCAGTATTGTGAAAGATCCTTGACATAATATGCATATATAAAAATACATTTCAGTATTTAAAATACTAAAGTATTAGTGTAAACAATGCATGTGAACCACAGGCAAAATCAGATCATCTTAAAACTTAATCGTTCAGTTATTTTGTATGCCACCTGTGGTAGCTACTTGCCAGTGGGATTATATGAGATGAGACAGGAATGCAGTTCCTCTGATGGAACTGAAAAACGTGGAGAGAGAATCCCTTCAGCCAGACTGGATCACAGTTCCCCAAGAGTTCCAACCTGTGAGCTGCAAAATAAGTGAAGTGAAGGTGTCTGTGCCAGATTTATTCCAAAACATATAGAAAGAAGTCATCCAGAGCAGCCTGGCAATCTCATATATGGATCCAAAAGAGAAGAGGAATGGGCTGACACTGAGTGAATCAAACCAAACAGCCTATTCAAAGGTGTCAGCAACCTCACTGTTCTAGGCAGGGTCTGTCCATCCACTAAAGATATTCAACAAGTTAGGCTTCATTCTTGAGACACCAAAGGAAGACTACGAAGAATGGAGTTGGGGGGGAAAAAAAAAAAAAAGAAGAAAAAAAAAAGTGCCTATAAATTAAAAAAAGAGCTAACAAACAAACAACAAACCAAAACCTTGGGGGAAGGCTGGAAGGTTAGAATCAGTTCCCTAACACAAAGTTTTATTTTATAACAATTTCATAATATGCAAGGATTTTTTATATGTGCAGATAACCTTTCTATGCTACAAATAAAATTCTCAGACAAAGGAGTCATTTTATTAAACACTCCAAACAAGAGGTGTGCAAGCCACTGTGCTTTCTGGTGATTTGGTTTGTAGAGCAGCTCTTTGAAATAAGATCTTTCTCTACTGTAGATATAGTGGCTTTCCTGTTACTAACACAAGAAGATCAAGCACTGAAAATTTTGCTTAAAGCTTTGCAATTCTGAATAGTCTGTAAGAGATAAGACAGACGATTAAACCAATGGAGATTTTTGTGATCACGATCTTGTGGCTCCTTTTTATGCAAGCTCATGCCATAGCAATCTATTCAAAACGTGCACTGCTTTAGTTACACTGTCAGGTATCATCCAGAGAATAAAAGTAGCTTGCTTTGCTTCTCTGATTCCTTGTTCAGTAAACATAGCATATATAAAATCTACAAGAACAATAAAATTCATAATAAACAAGATTACACATTTTCTTTATAGGCATTTGACATGCATATTGGAAAAGTATCATCCCTACAACAAAGGTCCAGAAACAGTGAAAGCTAGATAAGCAACTTGCACTGTTTTTGAAAAATGTTCCAGTCATTTTCTGAAGATCTGCGGCAAAATTATTTTACAACATCATGAAGAGAGCTAAAACTTGATTTCTCTGGAGTTTATAATTTCTGATTTGTCCAGAAGGCAATTAGTGAGAATTGAATGACAGAGGTCAGGAAGTCTTCTGAAAAATTCAGCCTTGCTGGCGTCTAACTATCAAAGACTCTGAAGAAATGTTATTTTTCTACAGAAAATAATCTGTAACCTTCAATGATGGAAAACTAAGGCTGCAGAGAAGCTAATCAAGATCTAAATTTGGAATGATGCAGAAGCAGGATGGGGGAAAATTAAGAATTTTGCATGCAAACTTGTTAAAACTCATAACTTGAGAAAAGTTTGTCATTTTCAGTCAACTCACTAAACTGAAAAAACTCAAAACAGGCACTTAACAAGGGCAGACAAATCTACACAGTCTTTCCTGTCTGTTGCAACTACTGTGGAAGTTCTATTCCCAGTTCCATCGATCAGTGTTAACAAACACGGTTACTCCAGGTCTCAAGGTTTAAAGTCTGATGCTTCTCAAATTGCTGTTACAAGCTATAACTGGATTTACGTCCACAAGAAGTTTATCTTCAAGTTATAACATCTTAAGAAATTTCAGACTGAAGGGCTAACTCTTTTGCATACAAGGAGATATAGAAAAATTAGATTAGTCATATTACCATCAGAACACCACTTCAGTTCAACAGCTTTTTAGAACCGTTTACAAAACTGCTTAGTATATTGTCAAGAAAATTCCAATTAACACACACAAATAAATTCAAAATAAAAGGTCTAGCTTTATTTAGATAAACCTAAAATTTCACAATGTAAATACTATTTCTTCATGGTCTAAACCTGGCATGCAAGTGTTCATATGCTCATTTTACATGGCATCTGCTTCTCCAAAAGTAAATTCCTTTGTGTCGGTGATCACTGATGTGTCCTTGCCATTCAAGAAAAGTAATGTATGGCAAGATGAATCAGGGAAGAATTTCAGGTGTTTCACTAAGCCACAAGAGAATTCACCGAGTATTATTTTTTGGTTAGTATCAGATGACTGAGTTATTCAGCATAAGAGTATTTCAGGTCTCTTCTGCAGAAACTCAGTGTCACAATATAAGGAACACCACAAAACATGCATTCATGAATAGATTACAAGGCAAAACACTGTAATTTTAGAAGTCTAAATGTATTTGTGTAAATTTAAATAATTAAAATCAAACATTGCAGTTATAATATTCCAGTTTAAAAAAAAACAACCCTACATATTGATGAAGTTCTCTAAAGCTTAAATGACAAACATTTGCCCTTACAATCTGCTTCTTATCCATTATGTTTGCTTTCTAATTATAATCAGGAAATATAATTCCTGTTGAAAACACACGATGATTGTAAATAATGAGCTGACAGGCAATTAGCACTTAACTTATGATCTCTAGGAATAAGAATCCTATCGAAACAAACAGAGCAAGTTGCCAATCTCCATTTGTTTCATTGACTTACAAGAAAAAACAAATTCACTCTTTTTTAGCTTTTTCTCTGCAATATAGAAAACTACAGAGAAAGCAACCTTTTGTACAATTACTTATTATGGACAAAGTATACACATTTGTTGGTTATCACTGGCAACCAACTTGGGAGTAGCCACTGAAACAGTACCCTGGAATCTCTGTTAAGAAGCCTTCTGTTCTTGTAGCCGTTTGCCCCAAACATTAACTGAGATCTTTACCGATTACTAATGAATCTGCAGAACACAGAACTCTGACTTTGCTGTCCTTGCCAAATTTCAAAAGGAAGACTCCCAGTACTTTTGCTTTATGAACATCACAGTGCTTTAGCCAGACAGACAGCGCATAGCTTGATTTTTCTCTTTTTTTTTTTTGTTCAACTCCATTGCAAAATACTGTTTTATGGTGAAAAAGAGTTGGCATAAGGCATTGTAGGAGTAATGTATTTGAGAGGTTGGTGGAGCAATTTATATGCAGATATTCTGAAATCTCTCCAGAGAACATGTACTACTGCATTTCTCTAATAGAAAATGAAGGCCAGTACAGCAACTAGTAATTGAAGAAACTCTCAAAAACTAAAATTTGTATGATCGCTTTCTGCAAATTGTATTTTATTCTCCCTTCTAAAGAAGATATTTCTTAATACATCTAAGAATGGAATTATGGTTACAACTAGAGCAGGAAAAACACTAAATTTCTCTTTTCCATTAATTCTCCTCTTCCCTCTACAGGCGTAAAACAACTATCTAGACAGATTTCTCAAACAGTCTTGAAAAAAAAATCTAGATGCAGAAAGCATTTTATCTCTTTCGCACATAAAATCGAACGTGATATAGGAGGTGATAAAATGGATTTTTTATGACAATGATGCCAGCCCCTATGCAGGGTGACAGAAGTAACCAGAATGACTATAGAGTTTGATATTGATCAATTTAATGATTACACCAAGAAATTGCTCTCCCCATTAAATGCTCTGCATGAGATTAAACTCAGTGACCCGTTCTGCATTTTCCTTTTGTTTCTTCAGCACAGTACAAATATCTAATAATGGCCTTGAAAGAAATACAAGCAAAGCCACTTAAATTACAATTAAATGAACAACAGTGAGAACTGCCAGCTTAATTATGTTTTCTGTACATTCCTTTCAGTGACTCATGTATTCCTCAAATATTTCTAAAGATCACACATAGTGTCCCCTTTATTCTTCTGCTTCGCTTCAGAGTATTTTTATTGAAGGGCCACGTTATATAGGGTTGTTTTTTGCAATTTTCTGTTACAGCCCAAGAATTTCTTATTTGTGCAATTCAACTAGTTATAAATGAAAAAGAGTAGAAAATACTCCTTATTAAATCTGAAATCTTTGCAAACCATCTTTTCAAAGATGCATTCAGTAGCATGTTTGCCAAACCATTTGTCCAAACTTGAGTTTCATTAGCAAGAGTGGATTAGTAAGTACCATGCATGCTGTGCTGTATTCTTTTCCATACTTATTAGTCTGATTCTCTTACAAAGTATGAAAGACTAAGCTTTGTCTCAACATACTCTAGATTTTATAGATTTTTTTTCATTGATTGAATTCTGCTGCTACAGAGAAGACTCAGACTACAGAAATACAAAAACCACTGCCAACTGCAATTAAGAAAAAAAAAAAATCAAACAAGGATGCAAACAGACTAAATAAAATCACCTCAGCAGAAGCAAAGCCAGTTGGCAAATGTGATTTGCAAAATAAAACAATTCAAGTGAGTAAGTTCAGTTAAGTGAATACCTGCCATAACACTGGGCACACGCACCTTAATAAACCCAATCTCAATGAATTATGAATCCATCTAGGCAGAGGAGTCACTCCTTTCCCAAATGATCCAAACCCCAACTACTTCTGTCTGAACTTATGGAGTAAAGGAATTTGTATACTGCCATTTCTACCTTTCATGTCCATGTGATTAAATACAAACACAGAAGAAGCAGGCATGCAGTGGACTAATAAATGCTCTCAATTGCTATGCACTAAGGTCCTCTTTGTGCATGTAAATACAATTTACCATCAGGATCAGGAAGCAACAGAACAAAAGTTTCTCATGTGAAACTACAGACATCTTGCATCCTTTTGATGCCCTCCTTATAACTTCATGCTACTTGAAGAACTCCTCCTTAGCTGCAGTTCTCTATGTTTTTTTTAAATTCTTTCTCTATATTCAAGAAAACTGCAGAGTGCAGTACTTTTTTAAAACATTCATCTTAACAGAAGTACCACTACATCATCATCTGCCATTGTGTCACTTCCTAAATATTTATCATTTCTCTTTTGAGGACACTCACAAAAAAGCAGCAAAAATGAAAATAAAGGTATGAATTTATGATTGATTAAGAAGAATGCATGGTCCTATCCAGAATTATAAAAACAAAACAAGCAAACCAACATGATTTCAATTAGAATTTATTTCGCCTTCAAAATAAATCTTTAAAAATTCTCAGTTTTCTGACACCAGTCATTGAATCACATTTTTATTCACCTTGTCCTGCTGGTTTTCTTTCTTGCTCTCAAAATGAGGAACTGGTACCTTTCAAGAATCTCCTTGTACATGAAACTTTTACTAAAAAACTAAATATGACTGATCTCAAACAATATAAATTACTGACATGCATACTGAATTGTCCTTCTGTTTCCAAGACATCAGCACAAATCAATAAAAAAGATACAAAAATTAAGTCTTCTTTTTAAGTAAAAAGTTAAGCCTTGCATTTTTTTCAGTTTGTTTCATCAGAAAAAAATAAACACCATTGTTGTCTTAAATTGTATTATCAAGATATTACTTCAGCAGCACATAAGATGCTGAAATCAGGGGTGGGCTGCTGGAAAAGTTATCTTCAAGATGCAGTAGTTAATTCTTCTGGCTTCATTAAAACCATCCTGAAAATAAACCATGGTATCTGTTTCTATGAAGACCTTGGCCATCAGAGATCTAGTCCTACATTTTTCCTTTGTCAAACGTCTTGTGCAACATCATTTAAAAATAAATAAATTCTGAGAAATGTGGGGTTTGTTTTTCAGCCCTAGCTGTCTTCCTTCACAAATTAAGATTGCTTAAGGGCACTCTTCTTCTTGTTTTGTATAGTCAGACAATTTAAGTTTTTCTGTGTTTTGCTGTAGTAAGTGTGTAGGAAGTGTTATCACTTCCACTGCATTGCTGCCATAAGTTGGAAAGCATCTTCATCCAACTTTCACCAGAGGAGGCTGGGAGAGAATCCTCTCTCCTGTAGCCTTTTGCCACCAACTGCAGACCTTGCCAACTTGCAACCCATTTATAGAGCATTCAAGGTTCTTTAGAGCAAGTTTTTCCTTTCTCCAGTTACCTACCACACATTCTTTAAAACAAACAAACAAACCAACCAACCATCTTCAGATCACAGTTTAAAAACAACTGTCATACCTCAAAAGTGATGAAAACAGGTTTGATCGGCAAAGATAAACAAAAAGATTTACCACTGCATCCTTTACAGAGCTCTCACGAACTCATAAATTATTTGAAGTGCAAAACGTGGCTCTCAAATTTATGACAGAGAAAATATGCAATAGTATAAAGTCCTCACTGATGGTCTTTTAAGATGAATTATGTGCCAAACCAATTCAGTGTTATCCTGCAGACTTGAATCTCAAACCAATAACATTTTAACATAGACGCCAATCAACCTAAAAACTGCAACTCTGGGTCTCGCTTACTGTTCACTGTATCTTCTTAAATTTTCATTTACCTCTCTAGCAAAATGCTATCTTTCTCTCAAAGCTGCAATCTTTGACCTTTAAAGTACAGACAAGCAGTTCATAAACAATTGCCTGTGGAATGAAAAAATCCGAAGTTTATCTCTATTGCTTTCAGTAGAACACATCAACATCACTGTTACTCCAAAACTAATTATTTTTTACTGTTTTCAAAGCAAATAATGATTCTCTTTGGTAGCTAAGACATTTCTACAACTTTATATTTACATTAATTTTACATTCACACTAACATTATGTTTCATAAATACTTCCTAAATGTTAAGTAAAATGACAGGAGGATGACCAAAATATGTCCTTCTGCAGGAATTTTGTGCAAGATTAAGAATGCACTGTTTTAAAATTAGTCACCACCATTCTGCTAACACATTATACATTTAGCATTTTGCCACTATAGTTTACACTCTAAATGAGTCACACACATAAGGATGTTCTTAGTTTGAATATCAATACCATATTGAACTGGAGTGTCCCTGCTGTTTCTCATGTTTGAGAAGAGGTTTTGGTTAAGGTTTGTCATTGATTTTGTTTTGACGTATTTTGAGATGTTACAGCATGCCAAAGAACAAACATGAAAACATATAGTGTATGCAGAGTAACAATATAGAGAGAGACTTTAAGTAACATTTCTAGTTACTACTTACCACCTATTTTTTTCTACCAGGTTATGGTGTTAAATCACTTTCTTTTGCTTAAAGAAAGTTCATAGAGAAACAAGGCAAACTTACTTGATATAATAGGGCACTTTGTTATGCGAAACAGATCTCTGCCATGGAAACTGCACTGAGGCTGAGGAAACAAACAGAAGGTGATTATTAGAAAACACCTGTCAAAAAATCCAACTATATTTATTTATTTTACAATTGAAACAGATACAATAAATTAAATGGGAACAACTATAATTTCCCAAATAACTTCCAGTAATTAGAAAATCAGCTGGAGCGAACTACTCTAATGTATCAAGATGATTTCAGGCATCTATTTGATGCTAAGCTAGAAATAAAGCAAATGTGGTGATTCTAGTTCAAAGTATAATAAATTCTGAACAAGCAAGCTATCCATCCAGAGAAAATGGAGGCAGTAGTTTTCCCACCTCCACAGAACTTTCATCAGCTTCAGTTATGAAAACAAATGCCTCCACTACTACAATTAATATCCAACAGAACAAAAAGGAGAAATATCAACTTTTTTCCTAATTATAACAACCCTTAGTTCCTATTTCCAAACAGATTAATATTGATTAATGCTGTACAGACAACAAAGGCTTGAAAACCTGTCTTTGCACTTCTTGATGAACAGCAGAACTTATGCAAGTATGGTAAGTCAAAAGATACCATGATAACACCAAGAAGCCTTCTGTGCACCACACTGCAAAAGGCATCAAATCATACACGATACTACAGTTCTGCTTATCTAAAGATAAAATAGGAAAAAGCGTTCAGCTAAATTAGACTGCAGCTAAAAACCTTAATACCTTAAAAGGGGCTATATATATATATTGAAGAACCTCAGGAACATATAAGGCCTGCTAGAAACTACCAAACAAATGTGTTTAATTAGGGTTTTACCATAGAAGAAATTCACTTCACTGAACGTGATGTTAGAAGTGAAGATTGAAAAGATATGTGGGAACAGCTGATTATTGCAATGGGATGAATCTATACCCAACAACACACAAGTACTTTTAAAACCGAGTGCTTACTCCTAGGCACTAAAACCTCTGTTTAAAAACCTGGTAAAATGAGATGCAGCTCTGACCCACTTCGGATCTTAAGTAATTAAAGCTCTCGATTGATTTAATTTGTTGCAGAGATTACTTCTGAGTTCATCCCTCTTTGAATAATCCATTTGATAGCAACTCTTCCATCTCACAACCTTTAACAAGCCACATAAGCCCCAATAAGTTGGCAGAGAGGGACAGACCTAAACCTCTTCCCAGCTAGCTGTTCCCTGAAGAATTTAATGGCTGTGATCTCTTTCTGGACCATGTAACATTTCATGGCTTATAGGTTAAGAAACATTAGGTTAACTGAAAGACAGATTAACTGAGAAGAATATTTTGGAAATGACTTGAGCTGAGTAGAAGTGTTATTTTCACTAGAAACATTATAGGAAATGTCTATTACTATCTAAAGATGAAAATAATGTTTGCAGTAAGGGGTAATTACTTGGGGAAGGAAAACGTAATAATGGCTAAATGTATAATTACATATATAAATATATATACACAAATATAAATTAATATTAACATAGTATGTATAAAAGAAATAATATATGAGGGCTACTCAGAAAATAATGTCTTCATTTTTAAGTAAATAAATAAAGTAATTATTATGTTGGCCCATAACATCAGAGACAGATGTTGGTAGTATAGCAGTAGAAGCTGAACTATCCCTTCAATATTCAATTATATTATATATTAATATACACAATATTAGCACATATTATAATATGTAATAAAACATATGAGCAAATGTGTATATATTTATATATTATTTCATAAGAAATATATAAATACAGAACAATATATATTATATGTAGTATGGAATTACATGTAAATATATGTCTTAGTTTCATCAGGAATAGTCAGTTTTTTTCATAGCATCTGATATGACACTATGCTTTGGTTTTAGGAGAAGAACAATGCTGATAACACACCAATGTTTCTAGCTGTTGCTGAGCAGTGCTTTACACAGCCAAGGCCATTTCAGTTTGCTCAGCCCCTGTGAATCAGGACTGGCTTAAACTGGCCTAGGGATACTCCATACCATCTGACATCACATGAAAGAAAAGTTCTGAAAAGGGTAGGAGTTCACAGAATCACAGAATTGCCCGGTTTAGAAGGGACCTCAAGAGATCATCGAGTCTAACCCCTCTGCTAAAGCAGGTTCTCTACAATAGGTTGCAGATGCAGGCATTCAACCAGGTCTTGAATATCTCCACAAAAGGAGATTCCACAACTACTCTGGGCACCCTGTTCCAATGCTCTGTTACCCTTACTGTAAAGAAGTTCTACCTCACATTAGCATGGAACTTCCTATGTACAAGTTTAAGGCCACTACTCCTCGTCCAATCGCTACATGCCAGTGAGAAGAGCTTGGCCTCTCCATTTGCCTCTCTCCTCCATTTAGATATTTATAGATAAACAGTAAATCAGGTTTCCTCCTGCTGCTCAGGGGTTAGCAGAGCATTGTTCAGCAGATGGCAAGCAATTGCTTGCACATGACTATTCTATACGTTCATATAAATATATATATTTGTTATAACTGTTATCTTTTTTAAGCCATCTTCCTTTTCTCTATCTTCATAAAATTTAGTTTTATCTCATCCCACTAATTCTACTTTGTTTTTTTTTTCCCCCGATTCTCTCCCCATCCCAGCAAGAAGGGGGAAAGTAAGCAAACAGCTGTGTGGTGCTGAGCCACCTGCTGAGTTAAACTAACAATATATAATCCTGAAAACAAAAAACAAACAAACCGATCAGGTAGGTGACAGAGGCCATTGGCTTTACAGTTTCATTTTTTAATGCTGCAGTTTGGCACCTATGACAGGTCAGGTATTACTACACTAATTATGTCAGCTAACCAGAATGAAAATCTGGCCACAGGTAGCACAGATTTGATATACGTGCTATGACTGACTATAGATATTCTGCACTGACACAGATATGGACTAAACAACCTAATAAATGTAACTGCTTATTATAATGGACCAAGTCATAGTATTTTTGGGAACAACTCTTCTAAAAGCACTGCCAGTTTTCCCTGCTTGCACAGACCTCTGCAAAATGAAATTTCCATTTTGTTCTAAAATCAGTTTCTCGATGAAAAGTGAACAAAGTAGTTATTGATTCTGGCACTCACTTGCTGGGCTGCAGATATTACTTAAAGTCTGAACAACACTCAGATGCTTTAAGCAGGACACTGGTAAGCCCAGGCCAGTTGTTAGGGAATGCAGAGCCAGTGCTCTGTGTATGTTTATGCAATCTTCTGAGAAAGAGTATGCAAAACAAAACAGTGGGGAGTGGATCTTAGAACATAAGTGAAATTGTAGAAAAAATAAGTTAGCTTTTAAAGGGCTGAGACAACAGCACAATGTTTGGGTTTGTTAGTTTTTTTGGTAAGGATAACAGGTTATGAGAATTCTTCACCTACATCTATATTAAGAACACATAATATGTATGGATCATTAGTTAACTTGCAATGAGCTTACTTTCCATGTCAAAAACTGAAAAGAGGAATAATTAAATTCTGCATAGCACTGATGAGAGTATAAATTGTAGTGACCTCCTAATATTGCTTTATATCAGTCTCCTACTTCAGGATATTTCACAAATTTGGTCTTCCAAGAAGTCCTGCAGCAGTACTAAGCAGTAGAGGGTATAGTATGTAGAGAAATGTGACTATCCATACATAGTGAAATTGCAGGATGAAGGGGATGGAGTCTGGTTAACAGGAAAAAACAGGTATTTTGCAAGCACAAACTGCTGATTAAATGGCAATTGGGAGCCAATCAGTTGAAAATCATGTGAGGGAAAGCTACATAAACCTTAAAGTAGCTGCTACTCAGGTCAGAACAGATAAAAACTTGCCTTCTCATTCAAAAATGCAACTTTATAGGTAAAAGTTTGCATGAGACACATGTACTGCATCATGATCTTAACTTTAGCAGTTTGAGGTTATTTTATTCTAACTGCAGCCTTACTTGCTTCTCATAGATGGAAGTCATTTATGATTGCTAAGAAGGTTTGAAGAATTTGATTTAGAACATGCACTACTTCAAACTGTCAGGATAAACCCTTCATTTTTCTGGATTTAATGATTTTTTTATTGCTTTCCTTTTAAAGTTACTATCTCTGACTTTCATTTAACAGACTTTATATAAAGTTGTAAGTATTAAGTTCTGTTAACTATTCAAGCTCTTGCAATAGAATTTTAAGACTTTCCTGTTCTTTGCAGGAAAGGGGTTGTATTTGCTTAATTTAACAAATAATTTAAATGGACAACTGCATACTTTTTGGTTTTGCATGGCAGTGGTACTTGTCTGTAGCTTTTTGCAGTATCTGACAACACGCATTTTAAAAATTTCCCCTTGACTTTTGTATGTATTGTAAACACCATGTCCCCTTAAGCCCAGAGAAGATGTCCTAAGTAAGGCTGAGGCATGGTGATAAGGCACTGCATAGTCTCCTTGGACATCATACTACAAAAGTTTAATCCAGCAACAAAGCCAGTTTATGAAATTTCAAGACTCTCTTGCCCCCAGCTCCCACTGCAGTTTACTGCTCATAGTCCTGTGAATGTGATTATTTGTTATAGCATGCTAGAAGCCAAATGAGGGAAATGATCCAAGCCAAAGCAAAGAAAAAAGCAACCTTGCATGGCAGGCTTCCTTGTTTGTCATGTAGACTCTTTCATTGCCTTTTTTTTTTTTTTCCCCTTTCTCTTTAGATCAGTCAACTACACTTTTTCTCTGATCCAGACGAGCAGAGTTGAACAGCCCTAACAGTTTCACAGGACTGAAGTGACCGTTTAGAGCATTAGAGGGAAAAATACATCTTCTCTGTGTTGCTTCCTAATTAGATTAAATTACACAAACTAGAGTAACTAATCACGCAATTGGCAAATCTGGTACCTTTCTATTTAGATTCTTTTTAACAAATCTTGATGTTGGTGTACTGTCCAGGTCAAGGTTACAGGACTGAGACTGAGAGCTCTACAAAACCACACCAGGCTGCATTTCTAATGAGGTTTACATAGCAAAACAAACAAACAAAAAACCCAAAAAACAAACAACAACAACAAAACCCAGACAAAAATAAACAAAAGAAATTTGTTTTGTTCTTGCATTCTTAAAAAGAAAAGAGTGACTCAAAGAATCTTAGTTTCATCTAACAGCTGCAATATTTTTTAAACACTGAAGAATTGTTTACCATGTTTTTTACTGAGAAGCTAGTTGTCAATTTAAAATACGAACACTGTTGTCATATACCTCAAGATGAAATCAAGATTCATTACATGTTTTCTATTATATTAACTATTTAACTACACAGTCACACACTGGAAAATTTCTGGAACAGAGCTGCTCATTTTTATGCTAATTTTTTTGCAACAGTTTTATTTTTATTATACAAGCTCCCAGTTAAAAAACAGGATTACCTGGATTAGCATTTGTACCATTAACTCTGATGATGGTAGAGAGGCTAGAAGGTCAGAAAATTATTGAAGATCTCGACATCACAACTTGTCTACCTATAATAAATATATCAGACCGGAGACTGTGGGAACAAAGCATCTGTTTTTGCTTTCTTCTAGCAATACTGGGAGATTCTAGACTTACATCTCTGATTATTACTTCTTTTAATAGAAGATTTACATATATCTGTCTCAAGAAGAAGCAATTCAGGTTTGCATTCTGGACCCCTTTATTTTGTACTTCTAGGAATTTATGACATGAAGCACCTAATAGCACAAAATCCAAGCAGCACTTTCCTTGAGTCATCCCAACAAGTGTGGAACCAAAGCCAAGAACCGAGGTAGCATGGGATGACCAGATGTAGTTAGGAACACAAAGAATCTGCAGCAGCCACAGGTCAGACCTTGTAGCAAACAAGGACAGAGAAGAAAGCAAAGAAAGATGCAGTCATAACTCAGCAAGATACTGCAGTAACACCCAAGGAAAGTACACCAGTGAGTACGTCGGCAGAGCTGTGAAGATGAAACACCCCTGGAAATAAACAGAATAGTAGATAATAAGGTGAAAGAGAAAAATCCTGTGCCTCAAGTCAGAGGGATCCATGGAGGGAGACAGTTTTTGAGGAAGTCTCCAGTGCAGTCATATATTAAAAATATCAATTAATTGAAAGAACTTACTGGACAGAAAGTGCTGTGATGCAGGTCCAAAATCATGGTGTGCCTCTTGCAGCTGTTTAAGGCGATCCTCTACAGACACCTGAACATAAACATGTATTTACAAAATTTACTTTGTAATATGAGAGCCATGACAATAACAACTCTGGTATGCGCTCATTTTTAGTTAAATAAGGTTAAGATGCTGTCATGCAATAGCACTTACTTGCTACCCAGGTATTCAAGGCTACACTCCTATTTAATTTTATATTTACTTAATGAAAGTGCCTTTCAAAGACTGCAGTCTTTTTTTTATGAGTACTGCAGATCAATATTAAACAAAAGTATATTCATGGTAGCTATAGCTGATGGCTGAAGTTTCTGACTTCTGCTCCAGCCCTTCTATTGTCGTACTTCTGTAGTCAGCAGGACTCCGTTTGGTTGTATTGATCTCACAATGCCTTTCCAACACAGAACCATTCTGGCTGATGACTCCCTCCCAGTTTACTAACTGAAACTGCACAAGCACGTCCAGCAGCAGTTTAGTTGCTCAGTTAAATCAGGTTGAAGGAGAAAAAAAGAAAATTTTTCCATTGTCAAATTATATTAGTAAAGGGAAGTTCATACATTAAATGTATGAATTCCTATCTCTCTATCTCTCAGGAGAGGAAAGATTCAGAACTACAAGCTCAGAAGCCAGTGCCTGGGTTTAAGAAGTTCTATTCTACTGCTCTCAGACAAAGAGATAATGCCCTCTATGCCCCTTTCTCCATTCTTTCAAATACTTCGTATTACTCTTAGGAGCCAGACAAAGAAATAAATAGCAGAAGACTGACGATAGTTATTTACTACAAAAACAAAAAGAATTATGATCAGCAAGCACAAAGATTGCTAAAAGATATTTAACTAATATAAGAAACTTCATTAAAGCATTCAGTGCAAAACTGCACAAGTTTGAATTGTAATCAGGCACATTGATTTACGTTTCTCAGACTATTTAATCACTGATAGTCATAACTAAACAATATGAATCTCTCACAGGATATCCTTCACTGTTTTATAATGCTAAAATGTGGAATAGCTTACGTCTTGTCATAGAGCTACTAATACTTAAATTATTTTAAGCGAAATTCCCTGCAAAAAAACTTAACTATCAAAGCCAAAACAAAGCAGCTTTCTCATGAGCTGGAAGCACAACAGAAATATTCACACATTCAGTAACAATGATTTATACAGTAAAAGGGCTGCTATGACATGGTAAAAATTGTAATAATGGGTCTCACTAGTCTCCAGAGATTAATGTAGTCTCTTGAATGGGTAAACTACTGAGACAGTCTGAAAGGAAAAGTTGTTGGTCAAGTCACAAAAGAAAAGGAAACTCACCTCGTTGCTTTTGTACCACTCAACTAACATCTTAAAGACAGCAATAACAAATAAAGGGTAATAATGCATGTCTTAAAAGAACAGAAAAGGGTGATAAGCATCCCCACAACACCCCCACTCATATTGCACACATTCAGGAGAATACCTGCAAAAGTTTCCATCGCATATTGAGATCATCTAATTGACGAGACATCTTTAATGATGGATAAAGGTCCAGTGGAGACAACTGACTGGATAAATCATTCACTGTTTTAACTTTCAAGTTGATGGGAGCAATTTCTTCTCTAAAAGCCTAAAAAAGTAAGAGGCCAACATTTATGTTCAATGGACATCTGAGCAACAAGAAAAAAAAACCTGCAATAAACTGATCATTGTGCTGATTTGCCCAATACAGCATCTTACATTAAACAACTGTACACAACTCTAGAATACTCCCACAAAGAAAGTTCATTCATTTCAAGACTGATTACCTACTTCTTTAGAGAGAAATGAAAAACAAACTGCATGAAATTTACCCAAATGCCCACATTCAAATTCCATCCCTGAAACAGAGTACTATGGTTCCAATGAGGTGATTAATGATACCGTATGGCTTTAGAACCTTTCTTTTCAAATAGAAATAGACTATGACAGGACTCGAGCTTTAAAGTACAGTCACTGTCAAGAGCTCTTAAGAAAAAATAGATTCAGGAACTACAGTTTTCCAGTATGGAGCAGCTGACAAAAATTCAATTTAAAAACTATTATTGAATTAGCAAAGCATGAAGGAATGTACCTTCTAAAAAAAAAAGGAGTATAATGTTTTATCTGATTCTAACTGTAGAGCAGTTAAAAAGAAGAAAAAAGGTTTATTGAATCAAATGGAACTAAATACAGCATTATGACAAAATTGATGCAAGTTTTAGTTACAGTTGAAAAGATGCATCAAATTTCTTTCTTGTTGTGAGTAGTTAATTGTTCAATCTTACAAATGGCTTGACTAAACATCATGAAACAAGCCAAAAATAACGGAAAGAAGGATTCTTTGGACAACTCAATTATTAACTTCCCTTGAAAACCTCTCTTATCAGGGCCAGGAAAAGAAGGCACCTACTGGCAAGAAGGAGTTGTTTGGATCCTGGACAGCCAGCAAGCCCCTTAGCAGATGTTTCATTTTTTACACAGCTATGAATATCCAAAAAACTTTTGCTTTACTTTTCTTTAAAGAATAATCCATTGAGATATGACAAATGACTTCTTAACATGAGATTAAAGAACTATTCAGTATCAGTAGCTTTGGTATCTATATTAAAATGTAAGAGGAGAAGATGCATTATTCTCCTCAAATCAGGTACACTGTGGATGTAAGTCAGCTTTGACTGCCTTTGTTTTCGAGATTTTAGGTTCCATTAAACCTTGAGGAAGCATCGAAATTTGGAGAATGAGGATACTTCTGTTGATATGCATGAAATTAACACAGGGCTACATTACTTTATATAAGTCCATAGGCTTCTGTACACACACAGAGTATTTCTGAGTGAACATTTCAAAAGCCATGTCTCTTCCTTCTTCCAATACCAGCTACTGATACGAAAGTCATGGATTGTCAAATACACCAGGATCCTCCTTTTCAAATTTCTTCTTCAGTTTGAAAACTGAAAAAGATATGTATGTGAAACAGAATCTTGGTGATACTGGCTAAGTTTGCCTGATATAGCATCATATTGCTGCTATTATACTGTTTTTTTTTTAAAAACCATACCCAACATGTTCTTCTAGATCAGGCACTTGCCAAAGAATCATGCTGTTCAGAGGCAGCTTTCCTGGGTAATATCAGAAGGTGTACCTACTTTGAGGTGCTCTGCATTACCAGGTCCCCACCCAACCCATGCATCTAAGCAAAGGACAACTATTATCCATTACGAGCAGCAATGCTTTGGGATGCTGAGCCCTGCAAGAGCAGCCTGGAATCTTCATTGTAAGAATTGTTATGCCCATGAGAACGTTCTACTGTAATGTTTGTTCTTCCCTTTAAAGTAATCCTTAAGAGAAGTCAAGCCAAAATAAAAGCAAATTTCCACTCACACAATCTAAAATAAACAATGCACGTGAAGTCTGTGAAAGCTAAGAAGCAGAAATTAAAAATATGTGTATATATATAGTTTTGTATTACTAAAAGTGCTCTTAATGTTTTTCTAAGAAGGTGGCTATATACGTGATCGCCAAACAGATCTGACAGCTCACTGCTAGAATAAAAAAGGGAGCCTCCTGTCACATCTGCCAGAGTAACTGACTCAGCTTGCTGGTACACCAGTGCTTGGGCAAAGCTCCAAACATAACCATGGCCTAACTGTGGGTTAGACGGTATTTCTAGGCATAAAATCCTAGAACAGATTTTTCATTTAATGTTTTTCATACAATTCTGTTGCTTGCTGATCATTTCTTGCTTGACAGAAAGTGGCACAGTACTGGATTCTCCTTGTAACCTCAAATCTAGTCTCTAAATAGCAGTTTACATTGTACATGAGTTTAAATACATAGAGTATACAACGTTGCACATGATGGTAGAATGAAGGAGTCTAACAGGCTAAACATTCCCCAGGAATACCACACTTACTGTAGTTTTCTCAATGTGATCTGGTAACGAATCTATAAGCAAGTCTCCCACAGGTTTCCAGCCATTCCTCACATTTTCAGCCTCCTTCAAGTCAGCATCGAGGTCATCCATTGCACACTGCAAGTCTTTCAGTTTTTCCAACGCTTTGTCTACTTGCTTCTGCCAGATACTGGCACTGGCATTTAGGTTCTCCCATTTCTCTTTTACCTCTGATGACTGCTTACGCATAGCTTTGGCAATCCTCATGGCTTTCTCCTCAGGGGTCAACTCTGCAGAGACAAAGAAAAGCTATGCTGTTTATTTCTTCTTTTATTCATGCCCAGATAGAGTGCCTCTGTAAGTCCAGAGTCAATTGATAATTTACTTCAGCAGGTACAAAGTAGCAGAAAGTCCATTTTTACCTTGTTGTAATAAACCTGTATCATTCTTAATGACAAAATAAAGCTTGATAAGATGACAGGAAACTATTCCTGACTTCCACATATTAGAGTATCTGCAAAGCAAAGGCAGCCCTTTGTTGAGGGCATAGGGGAGAAAATAAAACACCATTCTTCTCTGCTGGAAAATATATTAGGAATTTAAAGCCCTTTCATGTAGAAAGAACAAGAGCACTTTTCTATTTGATCACTTACCACCATCTTCTACCCCTATCCTGCAGGATGTATCTCTTCTTATTTGCTAGGAAATAATGAAGTAATGAAGTAACCAAAACCAGTTGCAACTGAATAACCAAAACCAAAGTGGTCACACACACATCCTCCAGCTGTAGTCACGAGAGATTACACTGACTATTTCATTTCAGTAATTTGCTTATATTTAAATCCCTAGTCCATGTTTAGTCTGTAAAACATAGGACAGCCCTCCTCACTACGGACATGTTTCATCTCTTATTGACAATAAGCACTGAGTCAGCTAGTGGCACATCTCTTCACCACAACAGGTGATTTCTGCAAACCAGGCAGCTAGCCTGTCTGTCACAGAACACTTTTTCTTCCTGGTTCTATGATTTCCAACAGGTCCTACCAACTGCCGCTCAGATGGGCCTCCCTGAAAAAGTCACAGATAGGTTCCTGCACTGGAAAGAGTTTTTTCACTGATGACAAGCAAACTAAACTTGTTCTCCTCTACACAGCAACCTTGCAGTCTCTGGAGGCAAAGAAATAAGCAAGAGAAATTTGACATAAAGCAGAGAACAGCAGGAAGAAAGAGATATAGCAGACTCCAAAACTGTGGCCTTCTATTCAGTCTGACATGAAGACCTTAGAAAAGGTTTACCACATTATCTTTTGCAATTAAAATTCAAGTGGTGTCTATGAATAAATTATATGTAATAATACAAAGATGAAAGCAGCATTTTTGTCAGAAGACAAATAAGACATACAATTTTTAATGTAATATTTTTAAAGATATCATAATTAAGACTGAAGCTGTTCACCTGGGGAGAGGGGGTGATTGGGAAAGGAAGGCGGACATGGGAATGGAAGCATTTTTGCTGTTCAAAGGTTAGGTGAACGTCAAAGTAAATGCACTGTTCTAGCTGCAAATGTTCAATCACTATGCTTCCGGTGATGCAAATAATGTTCCTTATCTTGCAGTATTGAAATGTATGCTATGAATAATTAATACAAAATAAATCATGACAATACATTTAATTTGTAGCTAAGAAAGGCAGATGTATTTTTTCTAGACGCTGAAGTAATGGGAAGTTATTTGGATCAAAACCAGAATTTCTGCCAACAAACTCAAAGTATTTATTTACGTTTTTTTCAAATCTTTTTTGCCCATACTAGTCTTGATACACGAGACTACAAACATGCTTGTATTAGAAGAGTATTCAACAACTGAATCCTGATGCAATCTGAGAGAAGATCGTGATGTGCACATTTTCAATTTAATTGGTTATGCAGGGCAGATAGGATACTGCCAAACAAGTAAGTTGCCCAATAGCATGAAGCAACTTGCTAAGAACTGGTCAGTTAAGAAAAAAAAGAATATCGCCAACAGTAACCAAAAGCAGAGTGAGAGACAAGGACTAACTAAGAGCAAACACCCTCAAAAAGATGGAGATAAATCTCTTGGCTGTAGGTTACAGAATGAGTTCTTTCAAACAATTGAGAGGCATTTGAAGAAAGAGTAAAACACATTTTGAGTATTCAGGCTTACTAAGATATCACAGTGACATGCTGAGTGTCATAAGCAATGAGGCAAGAGCACCACTTGTGTATTTTGCATGCAAAGGTAGAGGCTAGCCAGGCTTACAGATACTGCATCAGCAAAAGGGTGTTTCAGAGGCAGAATGTGGAGAGGAACAGTCAAGACAAAAACCCATATCATTTAACTAGATGCTGTCTCAAGCTAATTACTGGAGGAGATGGTTCAAACTGGAGGAAGATTAAGGCATCATTACATATGTAGCTCCAGAGTACAGAGGCACGGCAGTAAACCACACTCTGCAAAACAGACAATCAGAACAAAGATGAAGACCAAAGAGAAAGTCTGATAAATTGTACCTTGTCTCCTGAATTCCAGCAATTCACAGTAGAATACATCACAGGAAATACAGTTCTGGGATGATCTTTATCCCAAGATTTGCAAGAGATTTTAGGAAAAGAAATAATTCAATTCTAAACAAACAAACCTTTTCAGATAAAAGTTGCTGTTTCAAGAAAAAAATAAAACCTATCAATTGCTTACTTAAAGATACCAAAAAAGTTATGCAGTATTTTTGGAATTATTAACAGTTATATTTCATTAATGAATTAATGACAATCAACTACAATCCAGTCACAAAGGGCCTGTGCATAATTGAAGCCAAGACTGTGCAGCACAGAGGCAAGTTGTAACTAGCAGCAATGTTCAGTATCATCAACTAGACAACCAGGCCCAACCAGAGAAAGCTGCAGGACCTTAAATGAGGAGTAAGGAAGCATCTGAAGGTAGAACACTTTACAAAAGGAAAGGAAATGCTGAACTCTGTTGAAAAGAAAAAGTGCAGACCCAGTGGAGGAGCCTCCTTAGTTGGCACTGTGCAACCATGAATACAGAGGGACATTATACCAAGAAACTGGATCATGTAGAAGTTGCGCATGTACAAAGCTGTCATTTGCCTTTCTTATCCAACATCACATATTGGTATCACCTTTATCTTTTACCAGAGTCAAAACCCATCAATTCTGTATAGGAGAGCATCATGTCAGAATGTCTTAGCACTTCCAAGCTAGATGATTAACGAGTTATTTTAAATGAATATTTACTTCACAAGGAATATCCAGAAAGCTTTAACAAGAGAAGCTTTTGGTTGGGTACGATTGTTCTGACACAACAGATTCAACAACTATTTCTCACTCCAGCAGAATCAATAAGAAAAAAATTAAAATGTATAGCTACCAATGAAAATCAAAGAGGAGAATCATGGCCTGACGTCACTTGTCTGACCAGCTACAAGGCAGCATTACTCATGACAAACCAGTCATACATAATCTGGGAAGGAAAAAGATTCCAGAATGATGGGGATGATTTAAGTGTCCCAACAGAACTGAAAACAAACATTTTGGAAGATCATTCATCAAATCCGCGTCATTGTGCAACAGAATCTGCCATCTATTTTATTTGAAAAATATTAATGCCTTGCAAGACTGCTTTATTTTATGAAAGTCTTCGGAATGCTTGTAAACTTGCCCTAAAAAGACATTTACTGGAGAAATAAAGCCAAATACGCATTTTTATGAGCTATAAAGTCATTCAGCTTCTGTTCAGTTAAGAGCGAAATACATCTTGCACGACTTCATCTCTTCCGTCATGAAAACCCAACTTATTAATGAGCATCACATTACTTATTTCAAGCATAGGGCACATGATTGCAAAGCACAGAATTGTAAGCCTAGTATCATAAAAAATGTTTTAATGGAAGGAATTTTCTTCTATGAGTTTAAATTTGTTTCATCAATCTGTCATTACACAAACAGGCAGACACGGTTCCTTTACGTTGTGAAAAAATGCTACATATTACTTGCAGCTCTTTTGTTCCTACTTAATACAAAGTCTTCCAAATGATCAAGTTTTTTTGTTTGTTTGTTTTTTGTCCTTTCTCTTTTCTTATTACAGTATCTCCATTTTAGCAGCTTCTCAGAAGCAAGGATTCCTCTATTTATGAGGGAAGGAGGATAGTAGCTGACCATGAAACAAATGCTTCTTTAGTGAAAAAAAAAAACCTTGATTTTAATGAGCATTTCTTTGTCACAAGAGCTGTTTCATGTCTGTAGCAGAGAGTGTCTTAAAAAGAAGACTTCCAAGACTGAACAAGTCTAGAAGTAAAAATTCCTTACACACTTGCATATAAGGAAAATACTTACATATGGAAGTTCCCAGTGCAGAAAGTTGCTCTTGCTTAAGAATTTATTTTAGACCAGGTAAGCTATTCTGGCTACGGCAGTTTTGATTCTAAACAACTGTGCTTGAGCTAGTGATCTCTTTCTGTCTTGCCAAAGCTACATTAACTACTTTTGCAATATTTTTGCTTTACTTTGACATTATGTAAAAACATTCTTCTCTTCTTTGATTCAATCAATCTTTTCAGCAAAACAACGATAGGTAAAACTGTACTGAAGTCATTACAGACAACTTCAGAGCATGTGAACAGACACAATGGCATACAGTCAAGCTAGTCAGAAGAAGAGCCAAGAGCACTGTTCTAGCTGTCTGATGAAGACATTATCATCACTTCAGTGAAAGCATTCACGGAGTTTCTAACAATCTAGACCAAATGTAACAGGAAGTTCAAAGAACAATCTGCAAGTGGTTAATGTGGAAATGCAGCAATTAGTTGGACTAGTAACAAGGCACGTCACCTTTTCTATTCTAGTTCAAGTATCTATTACATATATGATTAAAAGAATTTTTTTTAAAAATCACTCTTTTTTGTCTTAGTCTATTTAGGTTTTATTCTATCAAAACAGGAAGTTCTTCAAACCAGAGAAACAATCTAACAGAGTGAATGAGAAAAGTCTGCAAAATAAAAGACAAATTATTGTTTGCCTGCAGAAGACAGAGTCCCAAATCCAAAGAAAATGAATAGTATTAGAGATGTAACAATACTAGCAGATACACAAGTCCCTTTTCAGTGGTTGTTCATATTTGCTAATGGGTGCTGGTGGGGAAGAAAGAAGATGGATGAAACAAAGAGAAAATAAATTTCAGTTGAGAGATAATTAAGTTATCCCACTTTATCCCAGGAACACTAAAGATCACAATAACCCAGAGATTGTTATTT